AGTGCTGGGTATGTTGGACGCCAGCCACAATACTGGCGGGCCAATCTCAACGTCGTCCTGCTTTCGAGACTTCTTTCCGCGCTTGCGCTTAGCCGGGATGAAGGCTTCAAACGTCAACGGTGTCGGGGGAGCCTTGAACGTGTGCATATCAACGTAAGCATCGTCGTCTTCGGTTGTACCACGAGCATACGGTGTGGCTGCAGGCCGAGAAGAGCTTGACGGAGAAACAGCCGAAGAGAGAACCCGCAATCGCTTCACTTCGCCTGGGACGAACGTTAAAAAGAGCTAGTACATGTTCATGAAGACATACCGGAGATAGTACGAGCCATTGTCTCTACACCGCGCACATAGCACACTTGAATGGGCTCAAGAGCACGCATACGACTGAGCAGAGCGTTGTATTTGACCTGCAGCGACGCCTGCTCAAGGTCGGAGTTACAATGCTTCCTATGCGTATCCAGAAGATACCTTGTAGTGCGTCAGACGTTGTCTATCCATTAAAGATGCACTTCACTTTTGATCCTCGAGAGCCATCACGGTTGACAGGTAAGTACTGATTGCCATTTCGTTCAGGGAAACACCCTTCTTGAGCTCTTCAGTCTCCTCTTTGGCTAGGCGTAGCTTCACCGAGGCAAGCGATTCAGCTAAGAGCGGACATTACATCAGTATTCTTCAAGATGATACAATCTTAACACACTTCGCAGCGTTTCCGCGTACGGGCAACGGGCATGCTTCTTATCTCGGGCCTCATTCCATTCTTTGACCCACACCTCCCAACCTTCCACGATATGCACAGGAATCGTTGTCTTGTATCGTTCGTATTTCTCAGCGTGTTTGGTCGCGAGAGGGACAGCCTCCTTGAGCTGACGAAGGAGGAACGTTCCTGATGAACATAAGCAGTCAAATTAACCGTAGACGCACCCTACATTTGCAGCACGCACCCATGGTTCGAATCTTCCGGAAGTTATTGGCTTGCATGAAATCCTCGATGACCTCATGCCGATGAGCAGCGCTCTGTTCCCGTGTGAAGACAGCGATGCCATTCATGTTCGCCCATCCGGCTTCGATGCCTTCTCCGCACGTACGCGCAGCACCGAGAGTGAAGTTGAGGTTGAAACGAGCCTTGCAGTCAGGGCCGTGCGCTTCCAAATGGAACTTCGGGACCACAAACGTGATCTCGAGATCAGGATCCAGCTGGAAGAGGTCGCCGTACAGTTGCTCCAGACGCTCGTAGAAATTGACACACCACGAGCAGCCTATGTCATACGAAAGGATGAGTCGTTTCAGACCCTGCGCCACCTTGCCCAACATCTTGAAGACGCAATGGTCCATACATACGAACCTAGATAAGACTCAGGAACCCCATATGTCGACCTATGCATAGAGTACGCACCGTTCCCCTCGCCATAAGTCCACGACGCCATTACGCTGATAGCAAAGATGACGGGCACAGATAGCCGCGCCGATACCGTTCACCGCCCAACGCTTTGAGGTAGCCATGTTGGAATGCCGCAGAGCGTTGTGCTCTGAGCTGCAGTACTTCATCTGATGCGACCAATGAGCGAGAGACCTCTCAAAGTGCCGTTGAAGTACCTCCGTTAGATCTGTATTATTCTTGACGTGCTCCGCGTAAGGTCCATCCGGCACGAAGAAACTCCACCCGTCGGAAAGTACGACCGACTTTGAGTCACGATCCTTACGCTTAAGTTTGAAGTTCGCATCAATGGCGATGTCGAGCTGATTAAGAAACCTTCGGCAGGATCAGTTGACGATGGGAGGACCAGGATTTTCACAACTACTCACTGCTTCTCGGGAGGCAAATCCCTCCAACCGGGGCGCAAGTTGTCCTGGTTGGGACAGGCTGGACAAACAAGCGCAAGCTCGCCTTCGCCTGTATTAGCAATTCCCAGAGCGTCGTGTCCGCGGCCAGCTTGTTTACAGCTGCGGATGTGTCTATACATTCGAGTACAGCGGCCAAATTCGCGGCAGTGTGTCTGTAGTGCCTATGATTCCGAGTATGCCAAGCATGGAGATAGCGACTGGACTCACACTGATAGATACCAGACCGGACCCATCGGTGATTCGAACAATGCCATTGTAGAAGTCGTAGGCGTTGATGTGGCCATGCGACGTGAGAGCATGAAATAGCTTCAGAAGCTCGAATGTGACGACGGTTTTTGGTCGTGCAATCGTCGCAGGCCACCACGCTGCGCGGAGTAGCTGAACGTATGCAGGCGTCCAAGGATGCTTCCAGCAATCGCACAGCGCATACGTGACGCTGTGGATGCCAGATGCATCGATAACCGTCAGAGGTGTATTCTGAATGTCCGGCCGGACGCACGACCCGCCGTCATGACCCAGTTGAACGATGAGACCAGCACGTTGCAAAGAGTATGGTTCGAAGTATTGATTGTTCCATATCTATTCGCACATGCAGGCCATCAGAATGGGCACCAACAGTCGCGGATGCTCTCACCTCGATGATGTGAAGAGGATTTGTGCGATGGTTCTCGACCAGGCACTCGTTGCAGTATAAATCGGGATCTTTACAAGTCGAACACCGAAGGAAGGCTTCAGCTTGGCACCCAGCGCATGTCGGAGAGTCATCGTCGCCATCAAGCTCTTTGAGGCCCTCGTGCCTCATCACTTCGTGCAGGAATGTGTCACGAACGGACTTGAAAGCCTCCATGGGATCTGTCTATGACGACGTCAGAATCGCAGAAGATGATGAAAGTCGAAGTAAACACACCCGGGTCGCCTGTTCTTTTTCAGGACGTCTTGGATCATCCTTCGGATGAGATTCGAGCACCCTATGAGTGGTCAGCAGGCGGTATAAAAACAGAACGGCAAGGGCTGCGGGAGACGTCCGATCCCGTGGCAGCTATAGCGACCTCGGTCTGACGAAGGCAGGTACGATGATGAATAGACTCACGAAGCATGCGCCTGATCTGAAGCCACGTATTGCTGTTCAGAGTCTTGCTCCGGTGAGCTATCACGGCGCGTGATATTTCCAGTCTCCGAGCCCTCGCACAGATGACTTTGCCATTGATCGCTTGAGTGTGGGGATACCGCGCGCGAGGAAGGCGCAGCGGAAGAGCCTGACGTTTGAGAAATGGACGCTTGCGAGCCAGAGACTTCGATTGACACGTATTTTCGCTTGATGGATGGACGTTGGCCGGGCTTTGTCGACACCTTGGCGCGCACGAAGAGTTCTGGTTCGAGCAGGCTTGAATCGAGGCTTGAACGATCGGAGGCTGGTGCCCTGGCGGCGGCAGAAGGCTATAACGGGAGAAAAAACGGGGTGTGCATGGATTAGTTCAGGTCCATTGCCTATGAAGCACCACAAGAATTGGCGAACCTGTATCGATGGGGTAGGAAAACTGTCTACCATGTTATCGGGGTTGTAGAGCCTAGTAAAGAATTTTTTGCGTTTAATCTTCGTCGTACACATGGGCCTTTCGCTTCTTGAGCTCTGCATGGTGTCCGGATAGGTCAAGGATGTGATGGAGGTAGGTTGGGGGTGAAAGCGAAGAGCAAGGCGCGCCGCGATGCGTGCTGGTGCGTGGGTAATCAACCAAGCAACGTGACCGCGTCTAGTTATGAAGCTTTGAGGGCTTAACGAGACGACCGCTGCTCGTGGCGCTTGTCGCTGTTCTTCATGGATTACTACTGGAGCTTAGTTAGTTCTGGTCATTCCATCCGAAAGTCCTGTGTTCGACCATCTTCGAAAGCTCTTGAGCTCCGTTAATTGTCCGCGCTTCACGGTGGGCCAAGCTTCATCGCCCAACCCTCTTGAATCAGCTCTCGGAGTCCCGAGAGCGCCATCTGCTGACTCGTGGGTAGATAGCAGCTCCTCGGTGGAAGATGGCACAGAGTATAGTGTCTCGTTGGACGTTAGGACGTGCAGACCACATCATGATCAACGATTGTCCGGTGCGTGGCGCGTGGTGGCGATAGCATCTGAGATCACAAAACTACTATTAGCTATCTCGAAAACACGACTCCGCGTGATTCTCAGCCGTGGTACATTCACGACACATTTCATGTGGTTATCATGTATACGTAGCCAATGGAGACTACTTGTATGCTGTCAACCCATGGTGGTGGAAAGAGGCAACATCCACGGGCGCCTCGCCGGCCGCGTCATGCGAGCGCACGGACACGGACCCTGGAGCACATGAATTGATGGCGTGCTTCGGCCCCGAAGCACGCTGCGGCGTCCTCTTCGAGCACCCCTGCCACAACAATTCTAGTCGACGCAACAGTCAGACGTGAGCAAGCTCGAACAACCTACCGTACAGTTTGGGCTTTCTACTCCCGCAGATATGCCGGAAGCGCACCTCAAAGAAGAGTAGCTCGGCATGCGTTGTGTCCCTGATAAAAGAGTCACGCGGACCCATATGCTTGTTCCACTACCACCACCAGAGGAAATGGTGTCAGTAGAGTGACTCTATCCTTCCACGCCTCCTGCTCCATGACCTCGTCTACCGCACAATGATTCAATGAATCAGTCGCTGGCACGCTGCGGTGCCGACGTCCTGGAAACAGCATTGTTCCCGCGAGGGCCTGCAAATCAAGGACTTTGCCAAATGGGTGTTGGTCTGGGAAATAAACGATCTACTGAACCCATCGTACATTTCTGGCCTTGACGTGCGACTAGACTCGCAACACCTACATGTCCGCGGCGAAGGCCTTCTATCCTGGCAGATCAAGTTGTATGATGGTCAGCAGTCGCAGCCATGCCGGGTGTCTCGACGCTCATGGTGTACAGGATTGCATCCTGGTGTATGCTGATGACTCGGTACAGTTCTCTCACACCGCGCGTACGACAAGCCGAAACGTATCTTTTCGATCTCCTTGAACTATCGCCCAGCTAGATCGGATCAACCTCCCTCTTTCGCTCTCTCAGGCCTCCCACCCATCGCACTCTGAATCCTTCCGTCGAAGCCACTGACTTTCGAAACCTAGAACTCTACACCACGGTGAGAGCTTCCGGACTCATCGCGTCACCCAGTGCCGTCGGGAAGACCTCGTGCAAGTCGAACGTAGTCACGTGAAACTTACTTTTGTTGCGAGCGCAGACTCTTTTCGCTCTTTCCTGAATACTCACCATGAAGGCAGCAGTCCCTCCTTCTCGACCATCTTCCGTCTCTCGCTGTCACTACGTGTGGCACAACGAGCTTAAACTTGACACGCCTTCACCTCTGACGCTCGAGGCCGACTTCCTCCCGCGTAGCTGCCTCGTTATGGTCGGCGTATTCCCCGGTGTATGTAGCTTGTAAGTGCACCACAACATTCCACTTCGTTTTTCAACTGAATTGGAGCGTCATAGTGCACAGGCAATCTTGAACTCGCTCGGTGTGCCTGATGCGACGGTCTACCGCTGCGAGTCTGCTATGGACGCCATGTCCGCCTACTTCGCTAAGAAGAATGAAGTTCGGGTGGAAGGGGACGAGCGGTTTCTTGCATTGGTGCGCTTAACGACCTCTTCGCCTTAGTCTAACAGCTCACACATATGTACAGTACAAGCTTTCCGTAGGTCCTGCGATCAAACAGCTACTTGCCCGAGTCTGGCCGCCAAGTGATCGGATGGAAGCCGCTAGACTGCTCACCGATCCGATCTCCGGTCGGTGTGTTGATCTGTTATTCGACGAAGGACTTGCGAAGCAGGTTGAAGCAAACCTGGAGGAACTCTGGCGCGACCAACACGACGCAGCGGAGAAGTTGTCGGGCGAAACTGTAAATCCAAGCAATGCAAAGCAACTCGATGTCGCCGGAGACGATAGCCTGTCCATTCCCCCTGACTCTCCGCCGGCCCTTCGCACTCCTGTGGGGTCAGGTTGGCGATATAGCATGTCGTGGGAGAGCCAAAGAGTCATTAAGTCGCCGATTCACTTTCTTCAGAAACCTCATACACCAGACAACTCTGGACGGAGCTCGCCCACGAGTGCTTCCAGTACCCCGCCCGCCATAGTACCTGAAACATATCGTAAGGGTTCTGTATCAACCCCGAACATGCGGAGCGATGCTGGTCGCGCTCGCACCGTAAGTCCGCTTCTGTCGTAGCTGTCCCACTTGGACTGATGCTGATGCGCACCTTAGGAACTTCTTGGGTTGCTCAAGGGCATGGGAATAGGCCTTGCGGACACTGTAAATCTCGACCGCTTCATTGTCGAAGTGAATGGCCTACATAGGCGCCCGGTATGCAGGTCTTTTACCTCGCCATACATGCTATTAACGGCCCGCATTATAGGACCTGCCTGTCCCTTTCGTACCGACAGCCAAGTGGCAACCTCCAAACAAACTGACACCCGCACATGACTCGGCGCCCGACTGGTACCCGTCCAGCGCCAACGTCAACAAGGCTATCGAACGCGCCGGGCTGACCGTGTTCGCGGTGAAGTGGACGATTGTCGTTATAGGCAATGCTCCTGGCATCTTTCCAAGCCTGTAAGCATGGTATACTTCGTTCTGACGAGCAAAGTCTGACGAATTACTATAGTGATAGTGCTAAGGCGAGAAATCAGTATACTCCGTCGGCCTGGTTCAGATATGAATTCGCAGACTCGGTCACGCAGGCCATCGACCGGTGGCACCTCCGCATCAGACACAAGCTTGTAGAGATCGTGAAGCTCAGGCGTGTTGCGCCGCCATCGAGGGAGTGTTAACGAGTTGTACAGTTATACCTTATCCCGAGCTCGTGCACTTGCTACGTACTCCAATATACGACTTGGTCCTGCTTGACAGGTGTTGTTGGCTTGATAGGTGCTGTTGGCTTGATGTACTAGAGTACACTCGCCGCTGATACCAGCCACGTATATGCTCGCGTCGAAGGTGACCGTGATAGATTCAGCACCATGAGAGACGACAAGTACAATCTAGGGTATCTATCGTGTCAAAGATTGGTAGCAACGGTAGCATACTGGCGCTCAACGAAATTGACGCCTGTGATTCGGAGCGAACCAATGCAGTTTGGCCGCACTTTCAATACTGTCGCCTCTATATTAACGTGAGAGGTCTGGGGGAAAAGCTAGCCAATTGAAACTTGATCAATCCATTGTCAATGGTTGGTGGTAGTACAGTCATTCGTCGTGGAAAAGGTGACGCCTCCTCTCGCCGCGGACCGACACGCGGGCACGGCATTTACCGAAACTGTAAAGTTGGACGTTAATGTAGTGCTGCCTTCGACCACTACCTGCCCCCTAAACGCTATGCTTTCCCAATCCATCCCGGTTAATGATTGCCCCGTGTTGGCTCAGGATAGGGCTGCGACACCACCGTCGAATTGGAACTCGCAGTCGTCGATGAGACCCTTGACGAGTCGTTCGCCCCCAGCGTTCCTGACGACCCTGATAACGGCGACGAAGCCACATTTGGCAACACCGGCTTTCCAGATAACTCTCCAGGTTACCGCTTGGCGGGATCTTCGTTACAGTCTTCATCTAAGCACATGAAGTGTGTCTTAAGTTCCATCTCGCGTCGATTCTCCATCTAACCGATTCCTCAGGGCTTGTACCTAGCTTTCATCCCCCCATCCGCGCGTCAGAGAAGGCACCGGGAGCGGAAAAGGGTCACGGTCGTCATCTTTCTGGGTCTGGCAAAGAGTATTTCAAATACTCGCGCTCATCTCAGCACGGAAGCGTTTGTGGGTGAGAGTACGGTCTTCTGAAGCCCAGCACCTTCCAAATGCTCATCGTTACATAGTTACAAACGCGCTCTCTTACCTATACGCTCACCGCCACGGCAAAGTGACTGGCTCCAACGTGGAAAGGTGTGGGTTGTAGCCCGAGCGGTGCCTTCGCCGTCGTCCGCATCGCGCTCTAGATACTGTACCTGAAGGATACGGTCGCCTGGTTGCTCAGCATATGGTTGCGAGTGTCTACATCATGACCGCCTTCAACAGTTTGGATGCCGTCGAGCACACGCATAGTTACGCCAACCCGGAGCCTACGATGCCTGTCGGGGTCTCCAGCGTCGTGCCGCAAGTTTCTGGCAAGAGGGCAAACTTCTTGGACACCCGTCTATCATGGTAGAACGGGCTCACAAGGAGAAGCACTTGATGCTTCTGGGCTGTTCGTGCGTCTTCCCGTCTGCTGAATATAATAATCACTAGTTAACGTTGATCGTCTTGTAGCATCGACGAGGGGGAGGCGCGAGAGGCTATGAGCATAGAGCCACATAGCGCGGGGCGGGCAGGCAGGCTCGGTACTACTGTTGAATAGCTTGTCTTTGCTTAACGTTCAACGTTCAACCTCCGAGGCGTTAAGCTCCTACTTTTCCATCACTCTCGCTTGCGCTCTCTCATGCGATAGCGGGAAGAAGACAGAAGTGTCGATCGGCTGACAACCAACCATGGGCTCACTGCATCGTTGTTCGACCGCGTCTTGCTTCGTGTGCATTCGTCTGTGGTCATCGCGCTTCGCGCAGATCTGGCTATCATGCTGTAACTTGGTAGCGTGTTACGATATTCAATCTGCACACAGTCTCCGCGGCAGCTCATGTACGTCCTCGAGAGTATGAATCGCGTATGAACGATAAGAGATGACGCAGTGTGCCTGACTTCAACGTAAAGGCGGTGGAAGAGAGACGCCGCTGACGGAACGTGTTCTCATACTTAGACTAGTTTCAAAGCGGATACTCATATCTAAGCACTCCAGGCCAACCGAAACAAGTAAAGTGTCCGACCCAACAATACATACAGGAAGAGAAGGGACCCGCTATAGAACTGATAGCACCGCGATAGGGGAAGTGTCGGGGTCATGAGGCCCAGATACCTAACCAAGTGGGTGCAATAGCATTCGTATTGTACGCGCGGCGCCCGCGGAGACTGAGCCTGAACGCATGCGGGTTGCACAATGGGAAGGACATATATGGAGATGCGCGACCCGGAGTAGATTCGCTCCGAGGTGCGCGCTTGATACCTGAACGGAGAAATCTTGCAAGAAGGAAGAGAGAAGTCGCAAACCTGCGCGACCGAATGTGCAAAGCGCAGGCAATAGGCGAACGAGCCCACGTAGCGGATATCGCCGACGAGGTACGGCGGCAGTATCAATTGTACTCTAACATCGGGGCCCGTAGATTAATGATTGTTCACCGAACGAGCTGAACACATGTGAACCGGCCGTAGGACAATGGGAAGGTCATATATGGCTACACGCGCTGGAAAACCGGAAAAATGGGAGAGAGAAGCGCCAGCGAGGATCGGCGGGGTTCAAAGGACTATGTGGTTACACTACATCATGTCTGAGTAGAAGGAAATCGGCAGCGCTCTCGGCATCGATGCTCATAAGGTAGCGGACAGGCAACAGGGGACGACAGGGCCGGGATGAACCCGCACATCGCGGGAAAGTGATCTCGGCACTGGCCGCATTTGGCTCCCTTACCGGAACGGCCAACAGGAGGTTCGGGCAGCACTCTGCCTACCCTCGACGCTCTATCTGAGTTGCTGTGAGCAAGTACTACAGCCTGGCCTTGAGCTATCATGTGTCTCTAGGCTATCGTCGTAGGGTGTCTTTGGTCCCGAATGACCCTACGTGATGTCATCGTTCGACTCGTACTGTGTTTGCACCTATGACCTGCCCACATCGACCTGCCTTGGACACTGTGGTTGAAGCAACACCTGTCCTAGTCAGGATTTTCGCATGCATACCTCGTGATGGTGCCAGTACCGCGGAGTCGACGGTGAAAGGAAGTGGCGAGACGCCGGCGCAAGGTGCAGTATCAAGTTCTTAGTGAGAATCCATATGTGACACTGAGCTCATTATCCCATGACGCATTAGGATGCAATGCGAGACGATAAAATGACGCGCCTCTCGTAACTTCGATCCATAGCCTGCCCGGTGTATCAACCATCGTCATGTCCGCATCTCAACTCCCATCTCAACCGGCCAATGATCCTTTGGTCTTCAACATGAACGTCTCGGGCAATTCGCCCGACCGGCGTTATCCTTTCTTCAATGGCGGGGGCCGGCTTCCGGTGCAAACCATCAACAACGTCGTGTATCGGTCTCCCTGGTGTCGTCACGGGTGGCACGCTCAAGATCGCCAGCCGTTTCACTGGAAGAATTCTTCACGCACCATATATGGCTGCCGCGGCTATGTTCGTGATCATGAGCAAGCTGACGATTGGGACTGTGGGTATGCCGAGGAAGGGATACATGGAGGTGTGTGCATCGTACAGGACTCCGAGCATCGCATGCTTACATGTTTTTCAGTTGGCGTCCCTAGCATCCAGGTGCTAAACCCAGCTTGGGACGGGCGCTTCTGGCCCTTCCCGAGCAATGGCGAGTGGTATAAAAGGAACGGCACTGTCTTGCCTACGACGACGTCTTCTCCAGTCAAGGCGACACCGCCTTCTTCGCCCGACCGATCAGGTCCATCGTCCTCTCCCTCTGCTGGCGGTTCAGCTTCTAGGGCTTCTCGCAACACCTAGAATGCATCTATACGCTGCTACCTTGGCCGCTCAAGGTACATAAGGCTATCCCGCAGATGTCGCAGATGCTCATGCTTTCATATCAGGCTTCGTCGCTGTATTTCCTGGCGTTCATTCTCGGGTTTGATGGATTTTAAACATGTACAATCGCGCTCACGCATATATCCGATACGACGTTGCTGAATCTCCCACACCCAGTGTCACCCCATCTACTTGAGTACTTGATTTTAGTATGTTCGTCATAAGCTTGTACATCGCGACGACGGTATTCTAGACGTGAGCATCAGCCGCCGATAGTGAATTCACTGGGCGTGATTCTCAAGTCATGTGCGGAATCTTGCACGATGCTGGTAAATATGGGTTGCTGCACATCCACACCATCGCGACGTATCTCCAGCAGTACGCGCCTGCCTTTGCTACTGCTACTGGTCAGCCGGGTCAGTAGCTTAGCCCCGACATACACGACGTACTGCAGTCCGAATTCGTACAGCAATAATGGAACGAGCCCTCAATCATATCACGCCAGCCCGAGTACGTTTCACACTCAGCAGCTGCATGCTAGCGCCATCCAGACACTCGTCCAGCCACAGTCGAGTCCCGCATTGTACACCAACAGCCAGCAGATGTCGCCGTTTATGCAGGTGCAGAACTTCGGGGGCTTTGGGGGCGCAGGGTCAGCAGACGCAGGGATCGTACCCGCAGCGGTTCCATCGATCGGCGTAGCCAGCTCTCACCAGTCCCGATGATGCCCCGGAAGGGCTGTGGCAGTCGCAATTGCACCATTCGGCGTCGCAGCAGCAGCTGAACGGCGTCTACCAGGCCGACGCGAGCGTCTCGGGTTCGTTCGTTACGCCGCAGATCCGCACGGACTTCAACTTCGCGTTTGACGGCCGCGGTGGGCTGCCGCTCATTAGCGATGATACACCCGCGCAGATGAAGGTGCTGAGCCAGTTGACGTTTTGAGATATTATGATGATGCCCGGTCGGAGCTGGCCAATGGACGACCTGATGAATGGGGGTGGGCATCAGCAGCAGCAGATTGCGCACGCTGCGATGGGCCAAAGTAGAATTTCCATCCGTATGTGCCCGCAGCTGCCCGCAGGTGCCGGTGGGGATGTAAGCGCTGTGCGCTGCGCGCCTCTGCTTTGCAGATGTGTCTCCTGTTTTCGAGATGCCCGAGCAAATGTGTATATGTTAAGTTTCTTATAGCTACTACGCCTATGCCCTCGATTTCTTAGTTCCACACAGTTCCCTGCTCCTTTCCGTCGTCGGTCATGTTCCGAGTTTGTCCATTCCATACGTATTTCTGCGCCATGCCCATCGTCCACGATTATGCTTTTCCTGCCCACTCTCCAGCTTAGCTATATCGGCTGGTTCTTTTCCGTTTGGTTTTAGTATATCGCCAATGTATCGGTAGTGTGCGATTCAAATCTGTCATGGGCAAAACCGGTCTTATGATACGTACTCGTGGCGCTCGCGCGCTACCTAGGTACGGTATTTGTATATGTGAATAAATCAGGATGCTCAGGGAGTACATGGTCACTGCGCATGAAGCTAAAATGGCTGACTGATAGGTACGACTTTCGTGGAAGAGCTCGACTGGCTAGACGTATTCGTAGAATAGGACTCGGAGCTCGAGACTGAAGAACCCCGCACGTCGGAGAAAGGCTCGATATGACGCGGACTGTACGGGTTGAGTGTACGCGCAGGGGGCGGGTGTTCGAGAGTCTCCCCTCGAACTCCTGGTGTTAAGGGATGGAGTGCTCGTCGAAGGGGTTGAAGAGGAGGAGGACATCGAGGAGAGTCGCGGACGGCGGAGAGGGACTCGCCGGTGAGGGAGTAGATGTTCTTCTGGACCTCGGGCATGCGCGTAATGACGTCTGTGAAGATGGCATCAGCTACCGCACGTAGCGATCTCAAAGCAAGAAAAACGTACCCTTGGTCGAGGTGAGCTTGACCTACCAGCGCAAGTCTGTTCGCACGCATGGAATCTGACGAACAGCAACGTAGGGATGGAAAATTCAGTAAGAGGAACATAAGGATTTTGGAGGACCAGGGTGGTAAGGCTGTGCGCACAGCATGGCTCCTGTGTCCGTGGGAATCATGACAAATCCCAAGCCCCAGTTATCGATCCCCCTCTACCACTTGCCTCCCAACCCTCACCACCTAGCGCTTTGCCGTCTCCCCTCCTCCCTCCCTATGCGGTAGCAGAAAGTTTTGCCGCGCGTAGACCCCTACCCCTACAGATGAGCTGGATCGCTGCCGCCCTCGCTTTGTGTGAAATATCTGGGACGTCCCGGGATACGCTGTGCATCACCACGGTCCTCCTTACACACCAAGGGCACTCTCTGCGTAACTCCGGCGGCCACGTAGCACCTCGCTGCTGTCCCCGTTGTTGAGGCACCATGCGACATCTTCACCACGACGGCATCGTCCGAGCGCTCTTCGATAAGCGCTGACAGCCGACGGCATCGTCTAAGCGGCAGTCATGCGCGCACTGGAGACGGCACCGGCCGAACGCCATTCGTCGAGCGTGCGCTCTCTCGCCAGCCGACGGCATGGCACAACTTCGATAGGCGCGCTGACGACGGCAATGTCCGAGCGCCCTCCGACAGGCGAGGTCATCGTCATGTGGACTTGCGAACGTCGATTTCGTTCCAGGCGTGCATCGCGTTATCGCGTTCCATCCCCAGCCGCGACCACGACGACATGCCCAACATCACCGCCGTACCCGATTGCACTGTCGGTCTCCACCCCGATGATACCGACAACAATAACTCCGTATTCGATATCGAGCAGCAGCAAATCGCGTTCGGTGATACGGCTTTCTCGGCGAATGCGGGCGGTCCCCCCGTTGGTGAGGATAGAGCGATGTTGAACGCATATGAAGATAATGAGACGGTGCGTCAACAATATCATTTCATACGATCTCATCGGCTAATTTCTACGTCTATAGCAGAATGTAGAGTCATTGCGCGCTGTTCGGTCTAACGCGGTGGAGGCCGCTTCGCCAAGTGCGCGCAACACACCCGGGTTGGTGAACGAGGATGCCTCTGCTCCAGCTGCACTCTACATAGGCTCGCAAGATTACTCTGGCACAAGTCACACGCAACCCGCTTCGCCCGACATGCCGGCTGCGGACTCCACGCCACAGCAGGCGACCGACATCGGCGCGCAAATGTCGGCCAATAGCCTCGAAATAGCACATCTCCAACTGGACTTGTCTCACTACGCATACTGTCGCCTTCTCACTGAGGTCGCCCTGAGTCGTCGCAGGTTTCTCGATGTTGCTGAACAGTTTTACGCTACGGTCCGCCTCGATCCCGGACAAGCTGACGCTGCCCGTCTTATCGCCGTTCAGGCTCTTCAAGACCGAGATGACGCTCTGATCGCTCTTGTTACTGCTCGTACGACGGCGAATCTGGAGGCGTTGAACGCGCTGTATGAGGAGGCTGTCGCTCGTTCGACGCCTACCTCTGCAGCTACCGAGGACCATGCGCAAGAGGATGGCGAGGAGGAGCTTGATGCGGATGTCGACGATGTCGACGAGGCATATGCACATGGATTGGACAGCGGCATCGGGGATTACGTGTCTGTATTCGAGTCGAACGGTGGAAACTAGGTGAGTTTGCTCTGTCCTTGATCATATTTTCCTACCAATATTTATCTGTTACTCTGATAGATCGCGCTGAAGATTTCAGGTGTGAAAGCAGTACGTCTCTTCGGCAAATACCCTTAATCAGTTGGATCTGATCGTGCACTTTATAGGTTACGGTTTCTTGATTTCTCGGGCTCGCGTTCGTTGGTGCGATGTACGATACGTAGGGTAGCAAGAAACGTGGGCCCTTTATTTCCGCCATCCCTTTTATCGGCTGTGAGTACAACTTGGCACGCGTGCCCTCGCGGTGCAGACTTCAAACTCCCGCAAGCTATTTTCCATCTTTTTGCATGGGTTGCCTACGTATCAACTAACACTCTCTATTCGTCCGTCGCACGCTCGTCAAACGGTCAGATATGATTACTTGCACTGACTTGATCACATAGCTTCCAAGCAAGCCATTGATATCGACCAGGAAATCGTACGGCGCCTGCCTATGTATAGCGGTGACGCCGCCAAGAACCAGGTTGCGATGAACCCGCGAAACAGGTGCGGCATCTTCTACACTCACCGCGTCGCGAGCGTCATCCTGAGTTTCTTTCTTTCCTTCTTCGGTGTCTTTGACGCGAAGCGTCCATTAGTCCAGGCCGACCTCAAGCACTTCCCGTTCAAGGTCATTGACATTGGCACCAGGCCCTACATCCGGTTCACCTATCGCGGCGAGGAAAAGGGATTCATAAGTTAGTTCACTAGGATCGCGCGTTTCGCTTGAACTTTCTAACCATTACCTACAGTCGTTCGAGGAGATCTCGTCCGAGGTCCTCACCAATACGAAGGAGATTGCTGAATCTTACCTCTGCGACACCGTCACCTCCACTGCCGTCACCGTCCCCGCCTTATTCAACGATTCGCAGCGTCAGGCGACCACGGACGCCGGCAAATCTGGCCTTACAGTCCTCCGCATCATCAACGAGCCCGCGCCTACGCTCTCGAGAAGAAGGTCACGAGCGAGAGTGACGTCCTCCTCGTTCTCGGTGGATCCTCGTTCTCGGTGGAGGAACCCCGATGTTTCGCTCTTGACGATGGAGGAGGGGATCTTCGAGGTCGGGGCCACCGCCGGTGACACCCGCTTGGGTGGTGAGGACTGCGACAGCCGCCTCGTCAACCACTTCGTCCAGGAGTTCAGGCTCAAACACAAAAAGGACATCTCCTCCAACCCGCGTGCCCTCCGCTATCTCTGCACTGTATGCGAGCGCGCCAAGCACACCCTCTCGCCCGCCACCAGACCTCGATCGAAATCGACTCGCTCTTCGAGGGTATCGACACATGCACGCCGCTCACCCGTGCCCGCTTCGAGGAGTTGTGCCAAGACCTCCTCTGCTCCACCCTCGATCCCGTCGAGAAGGTCTTCCGCTACTCGAATCGACAAGTCGAACGTGAACGTAAGAACGTCCCCGTCGGTGGCTCGACCCGTATCCCCCCCATCGTCAGGCTCGTTTCCGACTTCTTCGACGGCAAGGAGCCTAACAAGTCGATCAACCCCTACGAGGCCGTTGCCTACGGTGCCGCCGTCAGACTTCCATCCTCACTGGCGACACTTCGGAGAAAACTCAGGACTTACTTCTCGACGTCGCGCCGTCGTCACTTGAGTATGTCATATTTGTCCCTCCATCTTTGCACGGCTTTTACTGACTTTGCCTCCAGTATCGAGACCTCCGGAGGTGTCATGACGCCTCCTGGTAAGCATAACACGGCCGTCGCAACCAAGAACTCGGAGATCTTCTCCACCTATGCCGACAGCCTGGTGTCCTCAGCTAGGTCTTCGAGGGTGAGCATGCGGCTACCAAAGACCATAACCTGCTCTGCAAGTCCGAACTTTCCGGTACCCCGCCGGCGCCGCGTGGTGTTCCTCAGATCGAAGTCACCTTCGATATCGACGCCGACAGTATGCTCGACGCCTCCGACAAGACGACCGGCAAGTCGAACCGCATCACGATCACCAACGACAAGGGCCGCCTGTCGAAGGAGGAGATCGAGCGCATGGTCAACGACGCCGAGAAGTACAAGGCTGAGGATGAGGACGCGGCCGCCCGCATCACCACCAAGAACGACCTCGAGTCGTACGCCTACAACCTCCGCAACTCGCTCCAGGACGCCCGCGGGCAAATCAAGCTCGCCTCGGCCATCAACGACACGATCTCGTGGCTCGACGCGTCGCAGGAGGCCTCGAAGGAGGAGTACGAGGAGAGGCAGAAGGAGTTGGAGAGCATCGCCCACCCCCGTCATGCAGAAGCTCTACGGCGCGGCGGGCGGTGCACCTGGTGGCTTCCCCGGCGGCGCACCGGGCGGCTTCCCTGGTGGCGCACCAGGCGGCGCGCCGGAGGACGGCCCGACGGTTGAAGAGGTCGACTAAGCGTCTCGCTTGTGTTCTTCTGCCTGCTTGATTCGTCGTCTCGTTTGTCTACGCTGTTACTCTTTTCTCTTTACTCGCACATTCTGGACTCGCATCACGCACAAAAATATCGGTTCTTTGTACGTTAGCTGTACGTTAGCATCATCCACTTGTAGAACATAGGTTTTGTTGTGTTCTCAATATCTCGTGTGAACGCCGTCTGCTTTGCGCTAAAGTTGCTCTCTCAAGTTCAGTTATGAGTATACGATACATCTAGCTGTGCCCGCGTACAAGTGCGCGCCACACAAGACATGTGAGAGGGAGCGAGTCGATATGGGATTATTAATATTATGTACGTCCATGCCTGTCTGAGACGTCTGACGCTACTGCTTTTGCTGCATACTTTCACCTACGCGCGAGCTACTAGGAAGCGTCGCGAGTGTTTCATGGACGCTACGTCTTGAGCGTTACATTAACCTCACGAGTGCAGTACAGGAAAACACGTCTTTTTTATTTCAGCCTACATTGTATGATACATTGCACGTTGGCGTTAATGCGCGATACATTCAGTCAGTCGTCGTAGCGTTGACTGCGCTACTCTTCAGCACACCAGCCTGAACGCTGCCGCCGGCAACAAACCGCTGCAACTTGTTCTCGCCTGCGCCCGTGTCAGCATTGGCGCTCCCACAACAATCAAGATACGTACCTGCGTTAACAACGAACACCGCGCTCGCAAAGCTGCTCAAGTTCGCGTTCGAAACGTTCTCCATAGCGTAGTACGTAGCCGTCATCGTCTTGGGGTTGATCGTCAGCGTGAAGAAGCCGCGGTACGAGCCCTGGGATCACTGCAGCTGTTCGTTGCCCGGTGCGGCTACGAGCGCCGTCGAGATATTGTCGGCCGCGGCGGGCCCCATGCCGGGGCCGAACGCTGATGTCGACGTCACAGCTGTGCCTGCAAACTCGACGCCGAGCGCGCCTTCGCCCGTGGCGGGATCATAGTTGGCCGTGTCATTCGGATCTGTATAAGATGAAGGTGAGCGGTGATGAGCGGGAGGGGGAAGGGAGGGACATATGGGCGAGGTCGGAGACCCAGTTGGCGTGCGAGTCGCCGGCGAGGATGACCGTGTTCGTGATGTTGTTCTGTTGGAGATGGTCAAGAACGCGAGCGCGGTTCGCGCGATAGCCGTCCCATGCGTCGAGATCAACTGGGCATAAGGTCAGCGCTCAGGATCAAGCGTTGAAGAGGGGATTGAAGCATACACCGCCCAGACTCGTTGAGTTGTGTGAAGACGATCTGTTAGCTATGCAGCTCGTCAGGCTCGAGCCAGGTATACGTGCGAGTTCTGCGCGCTTACCCTATGATACGCCATACAGCGCCGCGAGCTTGCGACTGGTCGAATGTATTCTGTAGCCCTACGAAGGCCGTGAGTGGCGGACATGGCGCGGCAGCGGGAACGACGCGCACATGCTTCCTGCTCGGGTCTCGTCAGTGAGCGGTTCGCGAAGGACGAGATGGTGTTTATATCTGTGAGTGCGAGTCAGCAAGAGCACGCATAGCGGAGGTTGGCTGGCGTACATTGAGTATTATAGTACAAGTCTGTGAGATCGCGGTCGTACTGGCGTGTGTCCAGCATCGTGAGGTCCTTCGGAATACCGATCAGCAGGCAGGCGCGTACTCAGCGCCCAAACGAGCGACATACCAGAAGCTTGCTGATCTGAAAGTTGCGCCAGATGCGCAACTTGTTGTCCGCGGAGACTTGACATACTGGCACCCACTCATGGTAAGCGCGCACGGCCGCGAGCTTGCGGTCGGTGAAGCAGGTGCCCGAAGGAGAGAAGGTGCAGCCGACGTGAGAGTCATTGGAATCGACCGTACCCGCCTTCCACGACTGACCGGCGACTTCGTGATCATCCTAGAGGTTGCTGCGTTAGCATGAGGCCCTGTATCTATCGAACCAATAGCGATTCACCCTGAGTACACAGTTAGTGGATGCTCATCTCGGCAGTGAAGCGAATGTCTTACCAGACGGTAATCCAAGGAACAAACTGGTGCGCCGTGAGCAAGCTGACATCTGTTCGGTATTGGTTTAGACGTTGGCGATAGTCGAAGATGGTAGCAAGTTCGCGACCGAGAGTCTGACGCCCGATAGGTGCTCTATAGGCCATGCATCAGTGAGGGCTCAAGACGAGATCGAATGTCGCTGGAACACCCCCATTGCTCAGGGACTCGTAGATCTGCTGCAGCGTCAGCGATGACTTGCAAAGTAGGTGATACCAGCGGCGCACGTAGTCTCCAAGATGAGCGAAGGTGTCGGCTAAAGTGTTGTAGGCAGCTATTCCATAGGCGTTGAACCAGCCTGATTGATACTGCGAGCAGGAGAACACCGCAAGCGTAAGGTTTTTCCCACCGTTGACCTGATCCGCGGGCGCTGTTGAGACCCATTAGCTGCTGGTCAACCTGTATGGCACGCATGCCACTCACTGTGTGGACTAGAGATGGTGCGAGCTCGCCCAAGGGGGTTCGTATTGTTCAGATCCGTGCAGTCCGCCAAGTGGAACCGGTACACGGCATCAGGTTGCAGACCAGCCGCTTCGACTCTGAGCGTGAAGTCGGCGTCATACGACGTGAAGGCTTGTCCAGCGTCGACTGGCGATCCTATGAGCGCCTCGTTATCGAAGATCGCCCACGAGAGACAAACGGGGACCGATTCGGGCGATTGGTTCGTTGACGGCTCAGAGAGCGGCTCAGCACGCGTCCATAGCAAGACTGATGTGTTGAGAGGATCGCCCTGGGGGAACTCATCAGGGCGTGCCGCGGCAGAAGCCTGAGGCCTGAGGTTGCGGCTACCTAGGTACACTCGCAACCGAGTGAGTGAAGTTCAGGCCGCTACTCCAGATGAAGGGACTCTTCGAAGAATCAGTAAGCATTGTAAGTAGTGGGCCACCATCGGACGTACGTTGCCGAAGTCTGTGCCGTAGAAGGTTGGGTAGTGTTCGTCGACGAGACCGCTCGCGTCCTCCACTTGCCGCCGGGTGTGGTGCACATAGCGGGCATGTATGGACCATGTATCATGCGAGAACTAAGTCCCATTCAGTCAAGCTGACGAACGGTGTGTGAATCGTCGTACCTGCGGGTGATCTCCGAAAGGCGAGCGATAGGCAAGGTTGCGATCTAAAAGAGCTGTCGCAGAGGCGGCCGTGGCCCAAACAAGGACACGAAAGCTGAGCATTCTGATACGGCCTCGATATGCAGCGGTATACGACGTTCATGGCGTCTGGTGTAGCCTAAACCTGGGCCACATAATTAGCTGACTCCATGCACGTTCGTCTCTCGTGCGGGTCCATGACGAAGAAGATAAATGTCGATAGAAGTATGTCGTAAGAGGCGACAGCCGGCGGCGCAGGTGTTGCTGGGTACAGATAGAGCAAAGAGAACGTGCGATAGACTTCTGTTCGTGAGTATGACTGAACCGTGGGTGTAGCACAAACGCTTGCGGTATGCTTTGCTCAGCAGATGCGGCGCCGCGCGTCGAAGACTTTGCTTCCAAGTGGTCATAAAGGAACAAGTTAGGACCGAACGAAGACCTGAAATACCAGTCACAGAAGCTAGTTCGGTCCTATCATGAGCAGTGCATAGTCACGCGCTGCACTGGATGCTGGTGATTACATTCTCCTCGTGGTGGAAGCTGAAGGAGGAAGGAGGAAGGTCGGATGTACTGACGAAGGCGCCTGAAGGTAGAGCGTGGGATGATGGGCCGGTTATTGCCGACACAGCCTATATCTCGTGTCATATTTGCTGCTTGAGTGATGAGACCTCGGAAGACGTCTTGAGCTTCATGAGCGACTATGAATGCGGCGCTGAGGGAGAAAGACGCCGGAGAGTAGGGCAAGAAGGCGTCATCTTCGTGGTTGGTGCCGAGAGGACTAGGGAAGCACTGATGTTATACGGTACAAGCTCTCATTGGGAGACAGTTGTCGGGCTAAGAGAGTTGAGCAAGAGTATAGATGAACAGATTGTATAATATACCGTACGCGACTGCACAGAAGAAACGAAAATATGAGCAGATTCTCGGGATAACTACGGTATGATAGGAAGCCAGTAAGTGAGTCACAGCCAGGGTCGGAAGGCACGGGACCGAGCGAGAACCAGAGACGAACGAGGGACGAGGAGGTGAGATCCGGGGATGAGAGTAAGGAGACAGGAGGAATGTATGTCGTCGTATGGTGTGCGTGAGGGCGTGGGCCATGCGGACGAGCCGACTCGTGAATGGAGGTGAATGTTGAGCACGATGATATGCGGGGTATGTAATGTATGAATGAAGGTCTATGCGGCTTAGGATATGCAGTGAGTAGGGTAGAGGGAGCGTGGGTTAGTATGTCTTTGTATATATCGTGGTGATGATGGTGGTGGTTTTACATGCCCTATATCCAGGGCGATATGCGACAACAATGCTAGTCAACAGCAATAGAAGAAGAAAATCGAAAACATGTGATGCAGGGGAGGCGCAGCCAGTGTATGCTATGGAACAGCAGCGATGCCTCTGGGCGGAGGCACTCCGTTAACCCGGAATCCTTGCATCGGCAACGCTCCCTCTCCCGCTCATGCAACATAACCCTGTTTTGCTGACTCGTAGCTGCACTCCGACTCCTGCTGAGGCTTGAGCCCCAGGCGCGGCGTATCCTCTCCACTTGCACTTCCTCCATCCCCTCTACCGAACGGGTGATGTGGTGTACTAGGCGTGCTGGGCGTGTACGCTCGAGGTGCAAACGATGAGACATGCAGCAGGATGACGAGTTCTTCCGTTGCGTTTGTGAGGGTGACCATGTCCGCACGTAGGGTTGAATTGACATGTCTCCCTCGAAGAGCGCCGGATAGCTGAACGACGCTCTTGCCGAACAGATGCGCCGTCTCTCTGATGCCGCCTCGTCCGCTCCCACCGTAGCCACCCTCTAGTGCAGCAAGGCCCTTGGACAATCTCTCCGTAGCACTTTGAACGGTGTTCAAGCAGCTCGCGTAACTCGTCGCGGTCAGCTTCGCCCGCTTCATCCATTGAAGAGGTGTCCTCGTCAAGCATCGCTTGCACTGCGACCCATATAGGTGGCGCAGCAGCAGCAGCAGCGCGCGCCATGGCGCTGATGGCGTCCCTGTCGACCTGTGCACCTAGATCCCGAGGCGTATCGGGCGTTCCGGGTCCTGGACTGCTCGCATACCCAGCGTTGCTTCCTCCCGAGTCCGCACGCGTATGTGAGCAGGGAGAGAATACCCCGCTGAACGCAACGCAGCGCGTGGAGTAGGCGTATCGGCAGCGGTGGCCAGGCCTCCCGCGAGTCCTGGTACCCCTTGCACGCTTGGCAGTGCCCGCCCGATTTCGACATCCTTATGACTGAACGACCCAGCATGTCGCCTTGCCACATGGTGTCTCTCTCCACCTGCGAACGGCGCTCTCGGCGGTGCGAGATCGGAGATACCATTCGAGTGTGAGCGGGAGTGGGCATGCGTTGTCAAAGACGAGGAAGAGACGGGCGTTGATCCAGACGACGCCGTCGCGCCTCCGCGCAAGAGCGGTTCAACGGCTGGTAAAGCAGGTGCAATTACACCCCAGGCTAAACCAATTCCTGCGGCCGCGCCGTACAGGCCTAGCAACATCTGCCGCGTATAGCGATCTTCGCCGCTCGCTGCCAACACCTTTAGCTGAAGACTGAGAACGCCCACAGCCTTGCAGCAGCGCAGTATCGAGCAGTATCGACAACGTTGCGAGCCGTAGCGCCTGTGGAAGGTCGTTCATCAAACCGGTCCAATGCGGATATAAGGTTGCGGATATAAGCGCCTGCCGGGTCGAGGACCTTGAAGAGGATGGACGCGAGTCTGTCGTCCAAGGCATATTCGGCGTAGTGTTGCAACTGTTGATGTATCTGACTACACGCAAATAGAAGGCCGCGAATGGCGTCTAGGAGCTGTAGTAAAGGCTCGGGTAGAGCGCGTTGTCGTGCCGCGGGCGCCCGGGCGCTAAATCGGCGGAGATATCGATTGCGCTGCTCGTCAACAGGTTGGACTGGTGGATAAGAAGGTAGCGAGATGGCTGATGACAAGGCGGAGTCTGCAGAGGCTGAGGCAGAGGCAGATGCGGAGGCAGAAGGGTCGCGCGGGTGGTACGCTCAATTGCAACAATGGGGACCTCTTCCCTCGATGTAGTGAATGCGCAGACCCGGGATTTCGCGACACTGCGTCGTACAACATGCCCGCGGACATAGAACCCGTCTTGTATGCATCCGACTCATGGCAGTGGGATGGGAGCTTGTCTTCAATCGCGTCTTGTCGTTCAAAGAACAGGTCAGGGCGGCCGCCAACGGTCTCCACGGGGTCTTCATGTTGTAGAATGTATGGGTCGGGATCCGCGAGGTTAACGTGCGTATAGACGAAAGCTGTAGTTCAGATAAGACTTGTGAACGCAGTGAGATGTACGAAGCTGCGTACCGATGAAGATGAGAGCGTGTAGGTTGGTGGAGCAGAGTAGCGCGGCAATTCGCACATCTGCTTCTCCCGTTCCGCTTCCGATGCATTGCTCGTTCGGAGACTCGGATATGACCATGATGATCCAAATAAGCGTCCTGCGAGATGCATAGTTGATGAAAGAGCTTCCACGGCATCTGGGATTCGTAATCGGGGGCATATCGAACCATCGCCAGCGTGGTCAACTTCGGCGGACCTCTTCGCCATACCGAGCACGCACGGAGTATACGATGGCGCTACCGATCGCTCTCCGATGGAGGATCATAGCTACGTCACCGGTCATAATGTAGCGCCGCAGAACCGTTCGCTCATCGCTCATCGCTCGGCCGCGCGCGACGCCGAATCAGACCGTCGACCATCGGGGCGAAGTTCTGTAGTTGTTCTGTAGTGCGCCTTCGTCCTCGAATACATCGAAATCAGGAGCAGTTGTGACACAAACGGCGGCGCGGAATGTTCCAGCGACTCACTCGACATTCCCCGACAACGGAACAAGGCGCGAGTGACTGTATATAGGCGCACTTGCGCCCTGATCTCCTCCACACCCTTTCAGCCGCAAAGGGGACTCCTGGTTGATGGACCTCTTCGGGGACTGCAGTTGTGCGTTATCTGGACGGCGGGTATAGGAAAGTTGTTGTGACTCTTTGAATGTTGTCTGGGGCGACGAGAGAAGCAATGTCAAGCTCGATGCCGTTGAGCGAGGCGGTGAGGCTAAACCTGCCCGGGCCACTGCGTATGACTCGGCACTTGAACGATATAGGACTTCGTAAACAGTCGTAACGATGAGAAAGGCACTGCCAGACTCAGGTCAACAGCGATCGCAAGTCACTCTTTACGCCACACGCACCCAAAAGTAGTAGCTACAGGAATAAGTTGTTCGTCCTCTCTTCCGCAAGTCTGGAAATCATCGTTGATTCTAGTCTGAAACGCCGACTACTATCAAGACGGTCATTTGTACGCCGATTATTGATAAGCAACATAACTGCACTGCTTTGGGCCCACGTCAGGCAGGTCGTCAAGTCCAATTTCTTGGCCAGAGCTGGGCGGGCGCTCAGGGCAAAAGCGGAAAGAATATAACGGAGCACGAACATGAAGGAAAACAACTCGTGCAGTGAAGCAAGAAGATTGACAGACGACTCTGCGAGTCTCGGTTAGCATCTTCGGGATACGACAATTGAGAGATGATTGACGTAGACTTCAGATTCGAGAAAGGTTCGAGACGGACACAAAGAGGCTGACTCGAAGATGGTCGTCAGGAAGATCTCAACGTCCGCAGCCGGGACGCGCGTCGAGACCTGTCTCCCACCATCAAATTGTATAACATACCTCCAGTTCCTCCACAGTCATCTCGACGACAAGCGGTGATTGGACTGTAACTAATTATAAGATACGTATCGCCGGCAATCAGCCATCCATACAATCAACACGTACCCTATCAAGCACTTCCGACTGCATCTGTGGCGTCTTCGACTCAAACAGACGCTCGGATATGAACGTCTCCCTAGACAATGTCTCGAGTAGCGCTGCCCCATCCATAAGCCCCATCCTCTAAATTTGCTCGTTTCCGTGACCACAAGTGTCGTCGCTACCTTCGTTTCTCTGAGAAGCCGTGCTTATGACTATCGTCCTGCAGCAGTAGTACGGCATCGCGACGGCACGCCTTTCCTACTGATGGTTCACACGATGGATTGGCTAGCCTTACCTCATAGCCTCACAGTCTACATTTCACAATAGAGCGAATCAGGACAATTGCTGCGAAAACGCGCAGATTGGTTCACCCGTTTTTCGGATCGCTGGCGCGTACGTCGACCATGTCCAGGCGATGACCGGCGATGATGGTTTCACCAGGCAGACTCTATGTCGCAGAACTCTGGGCGATGAGAGGCCCATCTCCTGGATCACCTTGGGCGCACTCGACGCTGTTTTGATTTCCCGGAGAGTGCAAGTTCAGCTAGTGCTACCGTGTGAAAACTAGTAGGAGTGGTCGTCTGGTTAGATGTGCGAGTGACAAACTGGGGCCTAGTTTACACTGCCGTGTGCAAACTAGCATGGTCGGCCGTCTAGTTACCGAGCAGCGTTCTTAACCGGCGCTAGTTAGCGCTACCGAGTAGGAACTAGGGGACGTTTGGCTAGTTAGATGTGAGAACAACAAACTGTGAACCAGTTAGCACTGCGGTATGCAAACTATGGTCAGCCGTCCAGTTACCTGACGGTGCACTTAACTGGCGCCTGTTAGCGCTGCGAGTACAAACAAGACGGCGAAAATCTAGTTAGCGGTGAGAGCGACAAACCGAGAGCTAGTTTATGGTGCGGTATGCAAACTAGCATGGTCGGCCGTCTGGTTATCCGACGGTGGTCTTAACTAGCAGCAGTTAGCGCTGCCGGGTACAAACTAGAGGGCAAAGGTCTAGTTAGCGGTGAGAGCGACAAACCGAGAGCTAGTTGGCACTACGGTGTGCAAACTAGGAAAATCACTCTACTTGCTTACGTGAGAGCATGCGTGCGAACTAGAAAGATGGATGGAGCGATTGTTTGTAAGAATACCGGCTGGGCTGAGGCCTTTCGCCGTGGGGAAAATGAGATCGAAGACCGATGCGAGCGGAGTTTGACGTGACATGGCAATGGGCAACGCACACGAGGACATCAAGACCCTCCCTAGCCCGCACATATATGTCCGATAAGGGGGTACACGGAGGCTGCACCGTTTCGGATCGGACATTCGACATTGGAGTAAACGTACGACCCAACAATCGGACAGACGTTCGAGACATTGGGGGCACGCATTGTCACTGTTTAGGGCGGATTTTGATACCGGATGGAGACACCAAGGCTCCCAACGATCCCGACTAGCTTTCGATAACCGGTGTATTTGCATGAGCGGCAAGATCGGGCGACCGATCACACGGACCGCATCTGCCGCAGGCTCGGGTGAGGCCACGAACGATTTTCATTATACAGTTATCGCACACGGATAGAGAGCCCCAAATTTGATGCACACGAGAGTTGCGAAAGCGACTGTTTCCTTATTGGGTATTCGTGTCGACTGGATAGAGTCCGGAATATGGTCGGATTTGTAATGACTATCCTGGATGCATTTTCTAACGCGGGGAGTTCGGAAATTCTTCGAGCAGTATCATGCGCATTCACGGATTGAAGGGAAACGTAGGCTTGTACAGCAGAATATGTGTCTGTGCTGGAATGAAGGGCAATGGTACTTAGATCATGTCGAACATGGAGGGCAGCAGTGGATCTGAAAAAAAGTGTCAATAAGTAAGGCAAGCGAAATCAAGAGACCAAGCAGGACGCACCTGTATCCCACGCGCCCCGTGTCCACGACCTAACTGGCAGACATGCTTATCCTGAGATACCAGAAGAGCGTGTGCTGCGCCCGACGCAGACACGAACGCGCATCTTTAGAATGAGACGGGGGGAAGTGCGCGTGTGTGGGTGACGATGGTGAATGATGAAAAGGAGTAGTGATGCCTACGTATAGAATTTAATTCTTGGTAGGTAGAATATCACATATAGATACGCACCTAGTTCCTGCTGACCCCATCTGAAATCGCGCCCCGCATCCCCAACATCCGGATAGGGTACCGGTAAGTACACGACGCGAAGAGACGGCCGGGAAATCTAGGCAAAGGAAGTCGCGTAATAGTCGGCCGTCGACCTGACATCGGATGGTGGTCGACGGGGAGTAGCAGCTACAAGCCGGGCAGAACGCCGCGCAACGAGTCACTAGCGCGATTCCATATGGCCAATCGGCGAGGAGCGGGAATGATCCGGCCCGCAAGCACCAGCGCGCGGAAGACGGGCGCTGACGGGCGACCAAAAGGGAACAACGGAGAATGGTCCGGGCCAGCATCCAGGAGACCCGCAGGCACCACCTGCAGCGAGCGGAAGAGGGACGACCAAAGGGGAACAACGGAGAATGGTCCGGGCCAGCGACCGGGAGAGGGGCGGCCGGCCGCAAAGACACGCACGAAAGAACCGAATCGGGTAAGACCGAGAGTTCGTGATGGGAAAGGGAAACACATTTTATTTATAACCTTGAATTTATGATTTTCTTTTAGGCTGCTAAGCCTAAAGGAGGTTACTAATTAGTTAGTTCTCTGCCTGGATTATCAAACATTTCACTAGTGGGCCTCCCCAGGATAGTTAGTAACTATTGATGTGGCTACTATTGTTAACGTAGTGAAATACAATAAACTATGTACATTCATGGCACGATGAAAGTGGCCGACGAGACGCAGATATTCTGCGGAGGAGATGAGCAACGCGTACGTCAGAGTATTCTACAGTACCCCACTTACGTTTCAAGCTTGTGGAGTAGTGGCGCTCGTTGATTTGGCGGCGTCAAGCGTGCGTTGGTAGTGAACGTCGTACGCGAGATTGACGGCGCGAAAAACGACTGGCGCGGTGGCGGGATTACCCTCCCATTCGCCGTCTCTATCCTGATGCCAACTCTGGCCAGGTCTTTCTGCTAGCGAGCTAAGACGTGGGTAAGGGTCTACAATGGCAAAGCATGTCTATATGCACGACGTACTCCCAAACATACTCAACGGCGTCACGGAGCCGGTCGATCTCCTTGCCACTGACACCTTGCTCAGACGCCATATAGTACAAAGTAAGCGCCACAGCTTCCGGAGCTGTGCCCCAGCAGCTGTGAGTGTACTGGCGATATTCTTTCCATGTCGCGTCCGAGGGCGTGGAAGACGAGCGGAGGCCCGACGAATCCCGGAGCCGGCGAACGACGTCGTCGCCCGTAAACAATGCCCTACAGGTGTCCGAGACCCTAAGGTTGTCCATGATATAATCGGCGTGTCGGCTAAGCCATAGCGGACGTCGCTGCTCGAGCTGATAGATGGTAGGAATCATGACGGTGGGTTGGGAAGAAGAGGATGTAAGCGATAGCGGGTGCCAGTTTAGACGCAGTGCCTAGGCGTGCGCGGAGCCGAAAAGACGTCCGAAAAGACGTTACTGCGGCGGCGGGCGGGCGGGCGGTTTCGTTATAGGCGGCGCTGTACATGCACCTGTGGTCCCCGCAACGTGAGATAACGTCCGCGAGTTCGGCAGTAAGTCTGTTCGGGGACACGCGTACCTGCACCCTAAGCATACATCGTCAGGAATACTCGAGTATGAGACCGTAGTTGGGCAGTGGCGGGTACGGTCCGGCGCGGAAGCAGATTGCCATCCGGATGCCGCGCGATACGGCACGGGAATACGCCTAGACGTTGCGCGTCGGCGCCGTTCGTATCTTGGACGCAACTTTGATCTCGACCCTACAACATGGCGCCTTCTCCGAATGCTATGGCGAACAGACATGAGTACTATATGCCCGACAAAGAGTGCGCCGCTTTACTTATTATGACGTATCGCGACGAGCTGATCCCCGCCTCAGGCGTCACTTTGCGCCGCACGAGGGACTATTTTCTGTGGCTGACGGGGTCGGTGACGGGGATGAGGGTAGCCTGGAGAGCGTGGCTGTGGCGGCGGCGTGTGAGGGGAAGGCTGGAGGCGTACAAAGCGGCGCAAAGAATGATATCGCTGTGGACGCCGAGGTATGTGACTATCGGTCTTCATGAGACGATCTGCAGCTAATAAAGACCAGGGAACGTCGTGCGCACGCTTTACGGCCATCGAGTTGAAGGCGAAGAAGGTGCTTACGGACGATTCGTCGTCTCCTTTATGCGAGGAATGTGCTGTACTTCAGACAGGTATGTCGTAGTCGGCGGTGACTGAGCTCGTCGTGTTGATAACTGTACGCAGAGATGAAAACCGAGGGCGCTCGCCATCGGAGCGTATCCGAATGCCAGCCAGAAGTATTTGCCGCTATGGACTTCGTCCTCGATATGCAGTTTAGGGCGAAGAGGAAGAGGGATGAAGACGTCAACGGCGACGCGAGCGACGACGATATGCCCGGCTTGGAATGACGGGAGATTAGTTTGTAATCGAGGACGAGATATAGAATAGAGGTATTCGAATACGTTGTATGTACAGAATGGCGTATGATAACGAGACAAATTCTGCGTCCCATACGCGAGGGGCTACGACTGGGGTAATGCGACAGCGGCGGAGAGGAGACTAACAGCGCTGACGCGCTCAGCGGTACCGAGTCCGATTGCGTATGGCAGCGGATCAGTGCGAACGCTGAGGGGGGCGACGCACGTCCGGGTCGAATAGGGTTAGGGCAAAGTGGCAGCGTAACTCAATGTCACCCGTAACGCGATGCCAGCGATTTATTTCTGCAAGTGGGTTTCAGAACCCGAGGAGGCTATGTATACGGGCGCAATACACCCATATACATGGCTGAGTGGCTGAGTGGCAAATAGCCTGTGTTGCTAGCAAAATTGATCGCAGGTTCAATCCTTGCCCGTGTCAAGTTCGATTTTGCTTGGATAATGTGAGTTTTTTAAACCTTTTGGGAGAGGGGGTTGCAACTTCACTCCAGGGGCTGCAACCCCACCCCCCCAAAGTTTCCCATGGGTTGCTACCCCTTGACTACAGGTAGTGTGCCAGAACCGATATCCTGAGCTACTTCTCGCATCGCGCCTATACACGGCCATCAAGAATCTTATAGACTTTGGTTTCGCGTCCCAGCCCCTCGCCGCTTGGCGCGATCCGCCGCCCGGCAGTCTCGTATGGAAATGTATCGTGTGCCCTCGTCGAACGCCGGACTTCAACAACTTACCCAAGGCTTGGCAAACTAACCCTGACGAATGGCGGAAATTTGTGTCGTTCTACTACGACGGCAACTTTAGCGGCGATCACACGGTGTCTCGGAGGCCTGGTAATAACGTACCGCTGTTTCCTGGCACGGGTATGTTCGGCCATCCCGACGACGTCGCCGCCTATGCGGAGAAGTGTTTCGATGACAAGGCGCTTCGCAAGATATACCCCAATCTGGTGAATAGTTTGTTTGGGCTACATGCGGCGATCGCTGAGCGAACCTTTGTTTTGCACCACCTAGCACGCCAACGACAAGCCTTGCCATGAGCACCGAGCAGCTGCAGCAGTAGGCAAAGTGCGGAGCAAGGTCGTAGACATCAAAGGCATAGGGTCCTGGGCGTGCTCCCGACACGGATGCTTCTGCGCCTGCGCCACCAATAACTTCAATCTCGGCGAAAGGTAGAGGATCCTGAGGAACTACGGGTTTAGCGTCCTGAATTGCGTTTATAGTCAGAGCCCCGTCGACAAAAGTCTCGATTCCGCGTTTCATCATACGATCACAGAGCAGATCACCCGCGTCCAGCTTCTGTACGACATATGGTGTCGATACGGCGTCCATGTCGTAAAGCGCTTCAAGCACGGAGGGTTGGATTGGCCTAAGTTTCGAGAGCTGCTTCAGGGTGTAGGTGTTTGGCATATCTATGGGCACGCCTTGGAATGCTTCCGCCGGTTCTCACCGTCTTATTCGCCTCGAGCTGGCATCGTCGATGGAGAGATTTTAGAGACGCTATGGTCCCTGCTGAACGGAATCCTGCAATCCTGCAGAGGCATGTCGCTCGCAGCTCGGGAGGAGAAGATCAACATGCACATGAACGATATTAACTATCGCAAGATAGTAGAGATGGGTAAATTCACCTTTGCGGTCTCAGTGGAACAGACCGCTCAACCCTCTTTCAGTTGGTACTCTCGTGAGAAAGTATCGCAAATACAGCAACGAACTCCAGATTCGCAGGCGTCATCTCAGCCGGTTAGAGCTCTCTTGCAGTCAAGAGGATATTGAAAGGTGGGAGATGTCTCGCCGCGACTTGGAAGAGAAGCGTGCGAAGGACCCCCTCTACGCCGATGTCTTTTGGGGTAGTCCCCTTTCCTCTGCAGGTAGCCCGGGCAACCTCTCCTGACGGGCCTATTGCTCATGAAGACATTTGTTAGAGCCCGGAAAGGAGATTACTGAGGTTCGCTTGCTGGAGACGGATGGCGACGGGCTAGTCAAGGCGTTGATTGAGTCGTTGAAGCTTGAGCAGGACAGGTAAGACAGCCGTTGCATGGTCATTGAGAACGTTGGAGCTCACCAGACTAGCCTGCGCATGCAGGCTCAGGGAAAAGACTGGGGTTCCTCTATCGAAGATCGCCGTACCGCTGCTATAGCGAGGACAAGGTTTAACAATCGCCGCACTCGCGCTAATAGGCAGTTGGCCCCTCTGCTCGATTTGGAGGCCGAGGAAGAAGACATTCTACCCGCGCGCCTGGCGAAGCTTCTTGATGAGGACGAATGGTCAGAGGACGATCTCACCCAACACCAGCATCACCTTCGGCCCAAACCTGAGTTCCGACCCGTCTTCCTTCCGTCTGGCTTGCCGCCGGTTCATAGGCAGAAAGCGCAAATGAGCGAATCAAGGCGAAGGGCGATGGATATCGAGGCCGAGCTGCGGGTTGCGGACATGGTCGAACGCTTACAAGCGATAAGGGAGGGTCTTTGCGACCAAGCGCAAGGATACCGCCTTGCCATTCGGAGCAAGAAAGGCAAAGGCTCGGCGAACTATCGAGAGCGAACGAACGCCTGGATACACGCCCGCCAACAGACGAAGGATGTTTGGGTGCATGCGGCCATATATAACCATCATTTACGCCGTGTCCGGCTCTGCTTCTGGGACGATGCTCCAGAGGCTATCGCTCACCGCTCCATCCTCGAGGAGCGCTACAAACCCATTCTCGCAGAGCATATTCGCTGCTCCACCGCCACGTATGAGATGTACAACAACCTAAGGACGCGTGGCGATTTCACTCTACCCTGGTTCTGGCGCATGCAGCATGCTGTGCTCGCTGAGGCAGGGGTCGATCCCCAGAGAGGCGGGGAAGGTGATTATGATTCGAACGACGACGAGACCTTCATCGGAGATTGTGAGTGGCGTTCATTGCAACGGGAGAACGTCCCGATTTTGACCAGGCTCCAGTCTTTCGCACCCGGTGGATCAATGCAAAATGCGCAGTGGTGCGTTGTGAGGAAGAAGAATTCATGCTGCAAGGGGAGATGCAGACCTGCTATTTGGGGTACCTTTCCCTCGCTTTCTCCTGGCGTCGGCGTTGTCGCCTATTGCCCATCGCCGAGGGATCAAGCGATAAGTTCGCTGGTTTACGATCTCATGCTTTGCAAAATATGCATGCTTGGCTAGACCTCGCTGCACACGCAAAGCAAGCCTTCAATGCGGAGGTCTTGGACATCATAAGCGACGAGCTACAATAGTTGGGTTTCTCTGTATGGCCTCCTGAGTTTTGCTTCAGTAGACGCTTTTAGTAGAACCTGTCGGCGATGCAGACCTTCGATCTCTACGTCGCCGGATTCCTCTTGCTCAGACGCGCTGCGAAGCACTCCCATCTGTCTTGACGCCGTAGCGGCGAACTCCAGGAATGTTTGCAAGCGCCTGCCACCATCCTTCTGGCAGAGTAGCGGAGCCGGAAGGAGGGGAAGGGTGCCTGCGCCCCAACCAGCGTATGACCGGTGCCTTCGCGTAGCAGGCGACGCAGGCTCGCTCCTGATCAAATCCCCAGACCTCGTGCAGATGCTGATGGCCAGAAAACATCGCCACCGCACCGGAGTCGTACTGAACCTGAATGCCGAGGCCGGGTAGAGACAGTATCGTCCGCGGTCCACCGCCTATCGAGAGCAGCAAGTCAAGGAACTCCGCGCCTCCGCTTGACCGATCGCGATGTAAGGGGGTGAGCCTATTGCAAATGAGAGTCACGGCGTTGAAGGCGAACGTCCACGCCTCCATATGTCGACCAAAGTCTTGAAGAGTCGCTAGGTAGCCCAGAGCCTGCCTTGTCTCATGATATTGGGCGGGATGAGCGATCGCTAGCGCCGTGGACAGCAGAAGTCCCGTTTCAAAATTTGCTCCAAGCCAGGCCTGCGCGCTAACTTGCGCAGCGTTATCGGCACCGCCAGGGCGAGCCGCAAGGTCGCGAGAGACATATAGCGGGTCGTTATAACTCTTCGTGATCGCTGTCGCATCAGGAGGAGAGAGTGAGATGAAGGGTGGACCGCACCTCCTGCCCCTGCGCCAGCCAGCCCGGTGATAAAGTAATCATGCCCCGACCGAACTCCAGTTCATCGTTTCGAGCGAAGAGGTACCGGGAGTTTCGCCAACGTGAAGTCTTCCCAATGTTATCCGGCTTCGGCGGATGCGCTGCTATAGCATCTGACGACAAGAGCACCGCGTTCGCGATCGCGGCCTCCAACCCATCAGTCAACACTGGCGCCCGTCGTCAACTGGACCCGTTACCTGGCGCTCCGGCAAAAGCATGTCGGGCAGATATAAGAAGACCAGTTCCTCTGAGTCGTCGATGAGGCTGAAAGGTCGGTTTGTCGGCTGGAATCCGGCCAGAGGCACGAATTGCTCTTGCAACCGCGCCTCGAACTCCGGATCGTCTCCACTCTGTTTGCCGATGGAGGCACCGTATGATCGAGAGTTCCAGGGAATCACAACTGTGGGCTTGAGCTTCAAGCAATGCGACGAGCTTCTGATGGAGGCGCGCACCCTGATTCGTCATGGCTTCGACCATGCGCTGGGCAATGACACGTAGCTCTGCCTGAAAACCCACAGGTACGTCGCTGTGGCATATCGGCGGAGGCAAGCTGGTTTCTGACAAACGCAAAGATACGGCCTTCTGATAGCTAGCCTTGCCGTATTCGGCGCAGATGTCCATGAGCCGCAGACTTTCAATCGCCGCCATGGTGGTTTGGGACAAAGACCAACCGTCCTCAGCCTCGGGGACCCGCGCATTGATGGAAGAGGCCGCTCGCCTTGCAATATGTCGGCGGCGATTTATTCTCTACCGCCTGCGAGGTCCGGCGGTTTGCTTTTTGATTGCTTAGTCATTTGAGCGCGCTACTTCGTACGTACAACCTTTAATTGGAATGTACAAATACACCGGCGCCTTAGCGACGACAGGCGTCGAGTCTCTTCACCCCCGTCGACGTCGGACCTCGCGATTTCAAAGGCGGCCGAACCCCGCGCCTTCGCGCTGACATTAGAAACCGCGTTCGTTATAAGTCAGACACTGAAGAGTACGGGAATCTGCGAAGCGGTGGCGCCTCTGATGACCCTTAGTTAGGTAGATCTGGGCCAACTACAATCCACGGTGCACCGGAGTAAGCATAGCGCTCGGGAGAATTGAACAGCTGCTCAAGATCGCCCATCGCAGGTAGCGATGCGGTGCAAGCGGCCGGAAAGGAGATTCTCTCCAATCTGGAGCAGGGGTATAAGTTTGCCTCTCGAGGAGTATTGAGGTAAAGCGCCAGCGCCTCCATGTGATCAATGGCCAAGCAACCTTCCCCGCCTTGCTTGAAAGGGGTTTCTGGGACCAGAGGAGGGCTGGCGAAATGGATTGCGCGCAAACCCCAAAATTCGCCGAGAATATGAGCGTACCCCAACGACCGGTCGGGCAGCCAAGAATCACGCCCAAAAGTGACGTATTGCAGCGCTGTATGATCATTTGTGCGGTCTGCTAGGACAGCGCGGATGACGTAGGTCACGGCGTCGTATAGCGCCTTCGGATATCGGTCGTTTTCGTAGCGGCGGCGCGTGGCTTCGGCGAATTGACCGTCCCGGACAGACAACGAACGCCTGGCGGTACGCGTCTCATCGCGGGCCCCGCTATTCTGCCAGTCTCGGGCCACGGGATCCTTCATTACGGCGTCGAGTTCGGACCTGGAGCGCGCCAGGGAGACTGAGATGTACTCAGGAAACCGGCTGGCGACATGCACGGTAGGCGCGGTCTTCTCGCCCAGCCTTATGTCCAAACCGATAGCGCACAGCGACATCCAAAGCTCGTAGTCCGCGGCCAGCGTGAGGCCGCGAGTTAGCAAGCCTGGTGGGGCAGAAAACAAGCGCACAGCGTTGTCAGGGGCGGCGAGGGTCTTCACGTAGTCACCCAAAGAACCACCGTCCGCGGTGCATTCTTGCAGGAGGTCAGAGCGCCAGATGGGGGCTTCATACAGCGCGTTCTCCGCCGGCGCCTCAGCGACATGCTCCCTCCACCGGACTACAGGCTCTAGGTGCATGTCAACGTCGTGGGGAAGATCCAAACGGCGTAATAATCGTCCGACCTTCCCTTGCGGAAAGACAAGCCGCAGGAAGCGGAGGGTGGGTAGGGACACACGGTCCAGCTCCGCGAATGTCCCACCACCAGCGTCAATCGTAAGATAGCAAAGATTGCCTGCGCAGGCCTGCAGCGCCATTGACAAGTCGGATGTGAACTCCACCTCCCAAGCCAGGGAGAAGTAGATACAAAGCGAGGTGAGCTGAGGCGAATAATAATAGACGTCTAAGCCGCCGACCCGGCTGCCTTGCAAACCTTCGCTTAAGACGCCCACGACCCTCCTCGCGCCATACTTCACGGCGTGCGGCGCTCTGTCGTATATCTCCACATCGACATGCCTCAGAGCGCCGCCCGCTCGGCCAGGATGTAGGTAAAAGAAAGAGTGCGCGGGATCATACGCAGGCTGATCGCCAGGTCTGACGTGGTGCTCGGGCCAGGGTATCGCAAGTTTGATCCTCTCAAGATCCGAGTACGAGGCGACCGAAGACGAAATCGGGCAGGCGCAGACGTTGACGGCGATGAGGTTGTTCGCTGCTCGCTGCAGGGCGCCATGCTCGGCCGTCTCCACCTGCGAGAGCTTGGCGACACGGGGGAAAATAACATTGTCCAAGCTCCAGATGGTCTCAGTAAGATCGCCGTCGCTTGTCAGGATTGTGCGCATTGCCCGTCCTGTATGTGAAAGGCGCCTCGCGGGGGACTGCAGCCGCAAGGGGACGAGCTTGGTGATTCGTAGGCAGCGTGGTCGCCTACCAGCCCAATCCTGACCGCGGCAGCATGATGAACCTCCATCTGAGGCCGAAGAGATACGCCGTGGCGCATACCGATTCACGCCAGCGAAAGGCGCTTGGGGGCAGAACCATTCTTCCAACCAGAGACGTTGAGCCCAGAGGACGGTCTCCAAGATCAAGCGCTCAGGCAATTCTGTTAGGCGAAAGTACGACTCGCCGGAGTTGTTGCTGGCCATCGGGGTCGGGAGGAAATCGACTCTTGTTCAGCCTTACTGCTGCCGACGGGATATGGCGAAGATCGCTTGGCGCTGCCGATGTTCATGACACATCCCCGCAAGCACCCTCTCGGCCCAAGCCGATGCGCCGATGTCGTTGGCACAGCTAGGTACACTTACAACGTAGCTCGCTAGACACTTACGTTTGTCCGCACCAAGTCCGCATTTGGCGCCCTCTTCGAGAGGAAAGAGGCGCCTACTCTCAGAGAGCCACATTCGGCCTCATTCGCCATGAACCTTGGTGGCCAGTTCAACACCGTACTACTGACTAAACAATTTACACCGGAAGCGGGGGACTCGCGGCTCCAAAATCAAGTTCTACAACAGGCATTCAATAGATGAAACGCTAGGGGCAGGAAACAACGATGCGCGGAGTGCCGGCGAGAAGACGCTCGGGCGAATTGAAGAGGGCGTCCATATTCCAAGGGCAGCGCGGAAGGTGTACGCGCTGTAATGAAGGGCAGGGGTACGCAAATCGTTCGCCTGGCGTATTGAGATAGATGGCGAGGGCTCGAAGGTGTTCGAACGCCAAGCACCCTTCCATGTTCTGGCTGAACTGCAAATGCTCTGCGAGGGCAGGGCTGGTGAAGTGGATTGCGCGTAATCCCTTGAATTCTTCGAGAATCCGCGCATATCCCAGCGAGCGGTCTGGCAGCCAAGATTCCTTCGCGAACATGAGCTCCTGCGCAGCTGACGCGTCGTTGGCTCTGGCGCTAAGCGCCGTGCGAAGGACGTGCGCCGCCGTATCGTAGAGGGCGGACGGGTACAGTGCCTCCGGCAGCTTCCCGTACGGGTCTCTCTCGTATCGCACGGGCGCGTTGAAACCTTCATCGTCCCTGATGCTCAGGGATCTCCGCGGTCGCTGTACGCTCTCCGAAGATTGCCTTCGGCGCCAATCTCGCCCCGCCGAATCCATCAAAACGGCATGCAGCTCGTCGACCGACTCGGCGAATGCGATGCTGACGTAGTCCGGAAGTAGCCGTGCGACGGGGTAATTGCTGCTGACGCCGAGAGGGATGCGCACGTCTAATCCCACGACGTTCAACTCCTGCCAGCCCTGGGCGGTCGGCGTGGCGCTCGCCGGGGGCGTATTGAAGACAGTCGGTAGAATGTCTACGGCCGACAGTGCCGCGGCGTACTGAGTCAACGCGGCCTCAGGCGGAACATAGCCTGCTCTGTCAAGGCCGCTGAAATTCACTTCAAACGGCGTGACGGAGCTTGGCCTGGCATGGCGCGTCAGGCTTCGCCAAGGCACCGAGAGCTCCAGATGAAGATCGACGGGGGTAGGTAAGGTGGCGCAACGCAAGAATAGGCGACCGGCGAGCTGCGAGACCGCTAGCCGCAGAAAGACGAGTCTAGGCAGGTCGAATGGTGTCAAATCATGAAATACAGCACCACTAGCGTCAATGGTGAGGTACAGCAGCGTCTGAGAGGCGACTCCTAAGGCTTCAGACAACGACGCGTCATAACGTGGTCTCCACGGGTGGGCGTGATATAGATAGAGGGATGTGATGTGCTCGGAGAAGTAGTACAAATTTCCTCCTGACCACCGGCTTGAGCGAAGACGGGGGCTCTTGACTGCTACCATTCGGATGTACGAGAAAGCAGGGAAATGCGGATTGGGTTCATAGATCTCCACATCGATTTGACGCAGGTTTCCTCCCTTGTGCCCAGAGTGTTTATAGAAGAACTGGTGCAGGGCTGAGCGCGCGGTGCGGTAATCCTGCCAGGGTAGGGCGAGTTTCACGTTCTCCAACGCTTCGTATGAGCGCTCGATGGAAGGGATCAGGCAATTGCAAACATTTAAGGCGAGAATCGATGAACGCGTCAGTTGTGCCTTGGCGAGAGCGGGCGTTTTGAAGCGCAGCGTGATAGATTTGAACAGAGCGTTGTCCGATTTCCATATCTCTAGACACTTGACGCCAAGAATATAACGAAGAGTCTGGCAGGTATGCGAAAGACGGTGAACTGGTGATCGTAATCGCAATGGTGCGGCCTTGTTCAGGCAGATGGGTCGCGTACGGTTCCAAGCCATGCCGTTGCAACACGGGGGGAACTGGATCGCGGCAGACTGCTTCGCGGGGATGTTACGTCTGACGCCGGCGTATGGGGCGTGAGCAGAGAAGATCTCTTCCAGCCAGAGAGCTTGCGCAAAGTCTACCACCAGAAGCACAAGTTCGACAGGGAGATCGGTGAACCGGAAGTGTGCCATCCTTCTGCGATCTGACATGAGGGCGGAGGAGAACGCGTCCTCAGACTCCCGTCGCGGCTTCCGCGATCACGACAAGGATTACTAAATACAGTCCCACGCCTTGTGTGCTTTCCGACACAATGGCGAAGGAGCCTGATGCCTAGACTCCCTGGCGCAGCGATAGCGATATAGATATAAGACGTTTCGAGCAGCAGCAAGATACAGGGACTCGACATCGGGATGTGTAGCCGAAATATCTACATGCGTACAGATATACGACAAATACCCGGTGATCGGCTACGCCCTTTGGCATTGAAACGCCGCTCCCATCGTTCAATGAAAGTGTGAACCCCGCCAGAGAGGTGAGCGTCCGTCTCCCCACGAATGTAAATGTAGCGCAGGCGCCGACAGGGATAACCCGATGCAGAGCTGATGTCGTTCAGGTAGGTCGCTAAGGCCTCAAGATGAGCTGCCGACAGTACTCCTTCCTTCGTCTCGTCTGCCGGCTCAGTCTCGTCCGCCCATCGTTCGAAAAGAATGGCGACGGCTTCAAACCGCTCGCAGTGATCCAAGAGCTGCGCCCAACCCAGCGAGTATCTGGGCTTCCACGACTGCGGGTGTAGCGCCAAAGTGCTCGCGGCTTCAAAGCCAGCGAAAACAGTGCCGGGCCTGCCCCGCGTGGCAAGCCCCATGACGTACGCTGCAGCGTCGTAGACAGGCTTCACGAACCGGGGCTGATAAGCGTTGTCTCTAACTGCCGCGCTCAGCAGGGAATCGCGGAAGACAAGTGAGCGTCTAGCTTTCAGCTTCGTTCCGGGTGGTCTGGAAATTCGCCAATCCGGTTCGGCGGTGGCGCATCCCTGTGAGAACTCCCCTAAGGTTTTGGTGAGATACAAGGCTACTATCTCGGGGAAACGGGCGCAGGCGCGCTCGGCCGCGCTCGTGGAAGGGTCGAGACGAATATCCAGTCCCAGGACCCGTATGGCGTTGTTCAGGTTGTCCTCTTGGATTTGCAGGAGCGGCGGCTTGTGGAATATGGTCGAGGTTTGATCGGGGGCGGCGAGAGCAGACATGAAGCGCCAATATCCGTGTGGACACGACGCGTCGCCGTCCGCAGCATCCTCCATGACCTCGAATGGCACCTCCATGGGTCTGACATAGCCGCTCTCAACCAACACCTTCGCTACTCGCTCGGCAGCCCTCCTCCAGTCATACACCGGCTCCAGGTGGATGTCAACATCAGGAGGCAATGCCAAAGCTTGCAATAGCCAGCTTGAATCAGCCGCAGGGGCGACGAGGCGTAGGTACCGCAGGCGGCGAAGCTGAAAAAATGTTTCGCCGCCGACACACGTCCCGCTGGGGATATCGAGTGTGAGATACTCCAAACTCTCGGAACAAAGCCCTAAACCCCTCCAGAAGTTGGTCCCGAATTGCGGAGTCTGCGACATGGAGTGGCAGATGCAGAGAGTTGTCAAGTGGGGCGATGAATAGAAGAAATATGCGTTAACCGTGCGCGAGGATCTAGCGGAGAGGCTGCGGACGAAGCGAATTGACGCCGCAGGAACGGTTGTTAGTCGGGAGGGTTCGTAAAACTCCAGGTCGAAGCGCCGCAGCGGGCTGTCTGCGCTGTGGTGCCGGACGAAGAGGTCTTCGCTATGCGGCTGCGCATGCGTCGCCCAAGGCAACGATATCTTGACGTTCTCGAGACTGTCATAGAAACCTTGGACCTTCTCAAGTAGACATGCGCAAGACGGCGAAGCTATCAGCGTGCGGGTCTGATATGCAGTACCATCGCTGGTGAAGCGCCGCGCGATGCCTGCGTCATCGGCTTCGAACTTGAGAAAGGCGTTGTCTGTCTGCCCCACGCGAGCATCAGCACCAAGTAGCGCTCCGCGTATGTATCGGCATGTTCGGCGTAAACAGTGCGCTGGCGAACGCACGTTACGAGGGCATTCGGCAGTGAAGCAAGCAGGAAGTATTTCGCGACTGACGTTGCCGCAGCATTCTTCGTCACGAGCGACGGTTTGCGCTGGCCCAACGACCAGTCTTCTTTTGGGAGCGCCAGACAAGGGAGTAAACATGTCATTTGTCCAGATGTGCTGTGCCCAGACGGCGATCTCGGTTATAAGTTCCACAGGCAACTGGAGAATCGGAAAAACGGAGGTAGCAGGAGACTCGGACATGGCGGGCAAGACAAGACAAGACAAAGCCCATCAGCGAACTTGCGTTGGGCCCGGCGCGTTCCGGGCCAACGATTAATGCATCAACTTGAGCGCCGACTCGCTTGCGTTTCATGGTCTCCCACCAACCACCATACTTAGCGCCTCTGTCAAACCCGGGAGACTGTACTGCTCGACCGCTTACCTTTGCGCTAGTGGAGGGAGCTTCAACCCCCCTGACCATCCGCTATTGTATATACCGCGCCAACCGAGGCATCTTCAAACCGCGAATCGTGCGCCGCTGTCTTGGGGTTGTTATAGGGCAGGGTTGTGTTTGCGTGGCGACGGCGAGCCACCGCTTCATTCTCGCTCCTGATCAGACCCAGGCCCCGAAAGGCGCCTTTCATTGGAAGCCCAGCGTGAGCTGTCCGGGTCCTGGGAGCACCGATTGGCCCACGAGCGCAATTCGCTACGGTCTCATGGAGGCGGATAGCTGGGCCCTATACGCTTGTCCTGTCGCCGCATGCCTTCACCAGCGGCGTTTGTTTTAGCGTGGCCACTGCTGCGATCCCATAGCGCCAACTTAACAGCGTGTTGCTTTCGTTCGGCCTTTAGAAACCCCCGACGATGGAGGGAAATAAACTCCTGATACGGCGGCCGTTGATTCAACTCGCTCTATCTTCGCCTTCCATCCTGACGACGTATGATTCAAAACTCCACAAGACGGGCTGGCATAGGGTGCGTAATGAGAACGTGATACAACTACATCGACTGACAAGATAGGCAAGAAAAGGCTGGAGCGGCAAGAACATTCTGCGTTTAGCAGGTAAACGTAGCGCATAGACAACGGACACCGAACTCCCCCTCACTTCGCCGGACCGGTGATCAGCTTCTTCTGCTCTTCGATGAGGCGGAGGAGCGAGGTAGTCTGTTCCTGGTAGACCTCGAAGTTCTCTGGTACCCCACCGTCCAACAATCAGCGCATGTTTTGGGAAAGGGAACGTGAGCAGCCTTTACCGTCGAGCTCTGCATCCAGGTCTTTAAACCCCTTCTCAAAGACCTGCGAAAGCGTCTCCCCCTCTTCCTTGAAACTGTCCCGGGCAGCATCAAGATGAATGTTGAAAACCTCAAGGCGATTGGTCTGAGCTTCATCGAGAAGGGCCTGGTCGACAGAATCCTCGCGGCGATCCTTGAGTGCGGTCGTCTGCTGAGCGATGGCCTTGCTGACGCCTTCAAGACGCTTGGCGAAGTCCTTTAACAGCTCTAGATAATAAGCCATCAGTAAATTTACGTAACATTTATATTGCCAACAATACCGATAGGGGCCTGATCACCAGAGGCGCCGGCGCGGTCCGTCTTGCGCACGGACCCACCGAGAATACCACGTGGCACGGGGTTGGAGAGTAAACCCCGCACCGTGCGAGGGGCAGGCATGCTGGGGGTGGCGAAAGATGTGATTATCTCAGTCGACATGGGGGGACTGGAGCAGAGGTGCGGCATGAGAACTGCCGATTCAAAGACTTATATAGCGCGGGCGCAAACCCGGATCATCGCCACGCGTGGCTACGGTCCGCTGCCGAACTTCGGCTCACAGTCAAAGACTGTCCGCTTTAGGTATGCAAGTCTTTGTGGGGTATGGTCGCCTAACAGCGCGGAATTAGGGCCAGAAGGGTGGTAGGATCGGGCAGCCCATAGGTCAAGACGGCCGAGACAATGCATTCAGCAGCTGGATAAGTCGATCTGTCGCGTCGTCGACATGTCGGGTAGGCCGCTTCCCCTTTCACTTCACCGACAGCGACTTTACCGATACCGTACGTAATAATTCTTCACATGTGCGTCAAGGGCCCTAGTCAGTCACGCAGCATGGGTAACCATCAGTAAGATGAAACCTCAAGCCAGTGGAATTGATGACGAGAAGCTCGCGAGGCGCCAGCCCGTCTGGTGACGCTGATGTTTCGTATGGTTTGCCGGTCCTCGGCGAGGAGCGACGAAGCGGACATGCGCCTCCACTGCGTGGTCCAAGGAGACTCGGGGTACTGCCGGCGCTGCACTGTGCGGAAAGGATGAGGAGACTCCTAAGCGGATACGCCAGTACGCTGCGGGAAAGCTAAGCGAACCGCCTTCTAATTGCATCAGCGTCATACGTAGCCGGTGGCGGGAAAGCGGATCTGAGTGGTCGTCGCCTTGCTACAGGGTCAAGCCTTCAGAACTGGAATAGCGCTCAACAATAAGACACGGCAATCCCCGTGATGCAACGGCAATCACCGGGATTCTCGCGCGCGACACGTGCGCACACGCTGCAGACTATGCTCAGGTTTCAAGCTTCGCGCTTCGAGTCTTGCTTTCGACCTACCACCTCTCCCGACACTCGCAGATTCCGGCGGACGTGCGGTAATGCGCTTTCAGCTTCTGTCCTTGCTGACTGCTGTTTGTAGGAATACTTCATTGCCTCCGGCGAGGATGGCATCGCAGCAGCTACGAATTGTGCCTGATACACGACGACTTCGTTCTGCATTGGGCAGACAGAACGCCGCAGAACGCAGGGTTGCGGCGGTATAAGCGCTGGAGCCCCAAAAGCGACGCATCAGTCGCGGGCGCAGCCCGTCGAAACGCCGCCCTCGTTCGACGTCGAGCGTCGTCGTCGCCGGGTCGTGATAGCTGCTGGACGCTGCGGGGAGGCATGAGCAGCTCATTCGTTCGACGACGTCGACGACGGGGCGTTTGACGGTGCGTCGCGCTTTCATCGCTTACTTCTGCAACTGACTCGTCCAACGAAGACTGCCCGTGGTAAAAGCCCAGAGGAAGCGCTCGAGAAGGTGTTGGACGCCTAATAGCAAATCGTGGCGCCTGTCACCGGGTCACCGTGCGACACACGGACCCGGCACACACGGTTGTATAAAACCCTCGCGTCGCCAACTTTCACCTCGACATCGCCCTCCACTATCCTATGGCTGACGACCCCATGGATAACAACAACGCTCAGCAAGCCCCTCAAGGCGGCAATCCGCCGCAAGGCGCCTCCGTCATTACGGCCGAGGACATTATGAGCACGTCGGTCTGACTTCTGGCGCTCTCCGCATGCTGATGTCTAGCAGACGCAATCTACGCCATCAACGACAAACTCGACGCCGTCGTCACCGCGACTTCTCAAAACGGCGCGGTCCTCACCACGGTGGCCCAGGAACAGGCGCACCTCCGCGAGTCCGCTCTCCACCACGACAACACCCTCGCAGGCCTCAACCATCGCCTGGAGGACCTCGCCGTCACCTTGCGCGTCGAGAATCGCACGATGCACATCTCTGCCACCATGGGCTTCCATCGAGTCGCCGAGAAGCTGCGGAGTAAGTCTTCGCCTCGGATCGCCGTTATCAGCGCTGACGACGTCCATCTAGCCCAGCGCGAGACCATGCGATCGCTGGGCCGCCAGGTCATCGACGCGGTGCGCGGCATGTTATTGGAGCTCGTGGAGCGCTTCTCCGGTTGATTGCGGTGAGACCGGGTTGCCGGGCACGTTCCCCAACATATATGAATTTTCTTGAATGTACTGTGAATGATGCCCGCTGTGCGGCTAGTGTTATTGCATAGCTCTCGTGTTCGCAAAACGATTTTCGTCGTTAATGGCATTGTCAAATTGAAGTAAAGGTAAAAAAGACTGGTACATGTAAGCAGGACCGCAGCGCCTCGCGAGTCATTATCATGGTCTCCGCGCTGCGTATGGTATGCGTCGTCGTTCGCCATATCAGAACCGCAAGCGCGATGGGCGCAAATGAAATCGACGATCACCGTGCGGCTTTGTCGCGTGCAGCCGTCGCACGATGCTGCGCGAACGCCGGGGCGCGTCGCGATTCGCTGCCGGTGGCCTTGCCGAAGCGGCCCACCCGCTAACGCTTCGCACGACGTCAGAGGCGCAAACATCGGCCGGCGATCTGCATGCGCCGTGTGAGCCAAGATGGGCTCGAAGCCACCTTCTCTGATTCGGTTGGGCGACTCATCCCCGAACCTGGCAACATTCTTTGGCGCTATTCGGCTAACCCGGATCACGAAGCCCGAGGCGCGGCAGATGGCCGCCGTATTCGAATAGCGGGCAGCGCCCTAAACACCGCTGGTACACACCGCGCGGTTCTACCCAGCGCGTCGTTCGCTTGTAGGATAGCGCGGAACGGCTTCTCGGCAACACGATACCACCTGGACAAGCACCGGCCAAATCTGCTTCGCTACGGGGGGTTCATCCGCCATTTCATGTTTGAGAGCAAAGGCGCCTAACGGCGTACAAAGGGCTGCAAAACCGAGCCTCAGGATCCTCTGACTGAGACAATACCTAATAAGCGAGGACGGGCGATATGTCTAGGCGGGACACCAAGACGAACTCCCGCGCACGCTGTGGATCATTGTGATCTGTACCCGGGACGTCCTCAATGAGCAAGTAGAACTCGGGGTCGAGATAGCCGAGCTTCGCCATATCGCCAGGCGTGACACCACCTGCGGTGATCTGTCATTTCTTCATATGGCTCGGCGCTCAAGGCCGGGACTCACTAATGACCTGATCGTCGGCGTAGACGACGTCGGTATGATTCGCCGCTACGAAACACCAATTATACGAGAGGCCCCTGAGTTGCTGTGTCAGACTTTCCGAGGCGAAATCAGTCGCCGTGCCGGGTTCGAAGGGCTGTCGGACGTACACCGCAGCGTTGCGAACCTTCCCTTCCCCAATAGCCTGATAAAGATGGCCGACGCTCCATATCGTGACGGCGTCGATCTTGGAGCACAGTGAGCAACAAGGTGGCGCGGCGCTGAGCTTAACCGCACCACTTTCGTTCGAACGCTGTTCACCGCCATGAAGTAGATACGATTAATCACCGCCAACCATTTCTCGCCGAAGTTGTTCTTCACAAAGATGCTTTTGAGAATTAGCGCCGGAACGAGAAGATGGCGCCAACACTCACACGTCACCCTGTTTCGGTCGCCTATCTCGGGTCCGCTCGCCGAAACAGTCGCGCGAGCGGAATAGGCCCGCTTCGTCTTCCTCCATGCTATGAATAATTCGCAAACAGGTAAGAGAGATTTAGCAAGCAGACATTTGTCGGTGACGGCGTACAAGTACGCTTGCAGAAGCAGCGCTGGGTCCTGGCGGAGAGATATCATGCGCTCGCGCGGCATCAGCGGCGACATATGTGTGCGCCAGGGTTGTCGTCGATGTAATACTAGACTAACGGTAGCGGGGTTAAGACCGAGGCCTGACAGACCAACGGCGAAGCACCTGCGATCTCAGGAAAGGCGGGAGCGAGAACGAACCACCGACTAAGCGCAATCACCCGCCGTCGTCACATATCAAACGTCACGTGCGCATCGTCGTCGCGTGGCCGCGCGAAGCATAAGCGCCCCACCGGCCCGGTGGCCGCCTGCGGCGATGCCTCTGTCGCGCAAAGTAGCAGATACAAATCATGATTGCACTATTGTGCCCAGCGGATCAATACAAAAGCCGGCGTGGTTTTACAGGCCGATCAATATTCTACAAGGCCAGCTATTAGTATTTCCTGCCGGTCCCAACGCCCAGCTCACACCAAAGCCCGATCCCCGGCGACGCGGCCACCCGACGCAGAACCGAGCCTAACGGCCCTCGTCTTCGCTCTCGCCCTCGCTTGAAGAGCTGCTGTCCATCGCATGATCGAAGTCCGCTGGGTCCATAATATGGTCCAACCATGTGGCGCTGATGCGCCCGTTCAAGTGCGACGGAAGGCCAAGGTTCGCGCGGAGAAGAGGATAATCTTCGTCGTTCTCGCAGTCCGGCAGGTCTGCCAATTCGTCTGCAAATTCGTCGATATCGAGGAACGACCCATCCCCTCCGGGACCCTATCAAAGGTTCAGTTTCATATACGCCGCTGAGAGTGATTGTTTGATCTCACTAGCTCGGATGCCTCATGCAGAACCCCATTCAAGGCGTGCTCGACCCTGCCGCCTTTCTGAAAAAAAAACTCCACGGCGCGCGCTGCGAAGTGGTCGTGCTTGCCGTCGAGGGCATGGCTCGAGACAAGCTGAACGGTTGGAATTTGGTTACGCTTCGTGACGGATGCTATCGCACGTAGAACTGCTCCGTAACCTTTGAGGAAAGTAGCGTGTACGCCCTGCGCACGAATGGACTGGGGTATGTACTCCATAAAATGAATCTCGTCCAAAGTTGACGACCTGTATAACCGAGCGCGACCTCGCGTCTCGTCGGCGGGCGTGAGGTCCAATGACTGTAGCAACATGTCCATGGCGACTTCAGCCCGGACTTCGGTTGTTAGTTTGAAGGTTAAAATGATATGGCAAGGCAAACTCACCGCTAACTTGGTAGAGCATGCGGAGCGAGAACCAGCCCATAACGCATTGTCCGCAAGTACAGCCCCATCTTGCGGCGTCCTGAGTAGGAACCGGCCTTCCCATCGCGGATAAGAGTGCGGCCTGCGTTTCAATACTGAGTGCGGAATGACCAGGCCAGCTCTGCATCCCCACAGACGATGCGAAGGCCTTCTCCTCGCGCATCTTTCGCTGTAGACAGTCAAGAGGCAAGCGTCCGTGTGCTGTAGCTGTGAACACGTTGCCCCGAGCATTCGTTGTCAGCAACTTCTTCACGACCGACGCTCTGCTTCTCATTGCAGCAAGGTGGAGCGGCGTTGCGTTCATCGCGCTGGGGTCGGCGACGCAGATATGCGCTAGCTCGGCGGGAGTGGAGAGGCGGGATAGCGCATCTAGAATGCGACTATCACTACAGGTTTCCGAAGCTATCATAGCATGTAATGGCAGGCGCCTCCCGTTCTCTGACCAATCCGATTGTACGAGCGTGCGCATAAATGGTGATAGCGTCGGGAGCGGGCGTGACAATTCGGGCTGCGTTATTTCGCCAGGATCGTCCTCGGCCGGTAAAGAAAGAGATGGGTGCGATGGGTCCTTCAAGGCTCTTGCAAAAAAAACGGAACGGCCGATGCGCCTGAAGCCGACTCTGCGGAAGGTGCGGACGGCCACGTCCGATTCCTTGCGATGCTGCTCGGCAGGCATACCCGCTCCTCCAGCCCCAGCAGGCCAAGCCATAGCAATATCGCATTTCGCCGGAGGGGGGTGAAGCAACCTCCATTGAGTTGCCGGTGGGCGGGCGATAGCAGGTTCGGATAGAACGTGGGTGAGCAACCATGTCCCAATACCGCGTCCGCGGTAAGATTCCTCAACGCTGAGATCCGTCACAAGCAATATGCTCCCTTCGCTGAGCTCATGACCCCAAACCCCAGATCCCCGCAGATAGAGGCCAGAGACGTACTCGTCCAGGAGGCGCCCGCGAGCATCGAAGAGAAATGAAAGCTCTGCAGTCTCCTGGGAAGGTATATCCATTTCAGCATACCACCGACGCGAGGCACCGAGATAGTCGCGAAGAATGACGTGACCAGAGGCCAAGGCAATCGGCGAAGAGTTCGACGGCGCATTCAATGGTTGTAGGGCGTAGGAGAAGTCAAATAAGCCGAGCGCTTCAGAGTTGCATTCGAAGCGATAGTCCATGATATAGGTGGAACCATCAAGGACGTGCGAAGAGGATGCCTTATGGACCATGTCAAGTTCAATAGGCACACAGGAGAGCTTGCACCGAGGTCGTGACCGTTCAAAGGCAAGATGCCATAGCTCATTTCCCGCGAGAACCCTCATGATGATCAGCGCCACCGCCCGCGCCTCCTGGCGGGGTAAATTTGGTGGATCGAACCCCGCTGGTGAATAGGGCGCGGGCTCTCCGACGAACCATCAGGCCGCCAGCGCATCATTTTTATCCCCTCTCCGCAAGGCGGGGGCTTGGGCTGCGGAACGAGTGGGCGCTTGCCATCCTCCACCCACCATGGTACTTGTGCAGCTCGCCCCTTTTAGCTGGAACCAAGCCAACGCCGATATTTGCAAAGGATACCTGGAGGCTATCTTTCGCGATAAAGGCGATGACATTGGGCCCATTATCAATATAATCAGCAGCATCGATGCTTCCGGTCGTCTCCCCGCCATCGATGACTTTCCTTCGCGCCGTACTTTGCTTGAGCTATCCTGGCCAGCGATTTTTGGGCTTTCCCTATTTGCCTCTAACCAGGATATCACCGTGAGTGTGCAAAGCATGCTTGTATTTTCATGAGCGATTCAGTACTTTGGCACAGGTATTTGCTCGCGCTATGGAGTCGATCTGGCTGGTGTACTTCATGCATAGTCTGCGCTTTCAGGCATTAGGGCGGCATCTCTGGTTCCAGAGCTTGCGAACGGGCATGAGTCTGGGGGAGCTACGCTACGCGCCTGCAGACCTCCGATCAGGGAGAGATATCGCCAGAGAGCTAGGACCCGTTGATCTTGTCATCCACCGCCTGTACGCAATCTGGATGCAAGAGCGGGGGTACCCCGGAATGGGGCATGGGATGGACTACGACTGGGTCGTCAACGTCTCCAATCTCTGTTTCCGAATCACGTCTACTCTCCAATATCGCCATATGTGAGTATCATGTCACGGCTAGATAGAACGTGGCTGACTAGCCTCAGGGAAAGCGGGCAAGCACGCGAAGAGTTCTTCCTCGAGATCAGACAATACGGGAAGGCGGCGGAGAAGCGGTTGGCGTTTATACTGGCCGCGATCCACTGGAAGACGAATTCCGACCTCCAGAGTAAGGTGGATACTCTGAACGTCGCTTTCGACGTCACACCGCCGCTCCCTGGCGCTTGTGTTCAAGGCTTGTATATCGCTAGCTTGTTTGGCCACTCGCCCGTTCCAATTGGGCGCTTTGAAGCGCTGCCTCTGCCGGTGAGGTTGGCTATTCGGCCCCCGACAGAAATCTGGCCTGAGCTCAAGAAAGTCTGCGTTTGGTGCGGGAGTGAGAGTACTAAGTTGTGCGGGGCGTGCCAGCGCATACGATATTGTGGTCGAGCCTGCCAGATCAGGCATGTATCTCATATTGTCGGCGTGAAGACATTCGCTAATCTTGCCTGTAGCCATTGGCGCCAATCTCACAAGCCGGCTTGCTCGACGTATGCATTTCTTCCGACCAGCCTCCCCGCCCCTGCTGGGGTTTGACCGACGCATAGCTGCATCCACCCAGATAGCATCGCCGGATCGTAGCAGCTGTTTTGGGCGGACCCGCCCTCTCCAGACTCCCGTCGCGAAAAGGGACGAACAATATTTATTTACTGAAACTCGGCGCAGGGGTTCGATTCGCCTTGTCGTATGATAGTGCAAGAGCTCATCGCAGACAATGGCGATTGCAGACTACACAAGACACCATGCGGCGACGACGTATTTGCTCAATTGCGAGCGAACGTGTGCTACCCCGATTGCGCAGCGCGAAAGCCTGCGTAGCCCATCGCCTGAAGTTCGACACAGTCTCTTTACTAACAGTGCTCTAATTTGGAAGTTCGCGGCGCGACCGCTAGTTAGTATCATCACGATTGCTCTGTCTACCGCATGCAGAAGCAAAAGTCTAACTCCGTCTGCCCATCCTCGTTCGCCTACTGCCGGTCCTGAGGCTCTTCGGAAAACTCTTCACGCATGATCTCATTCGTCTCCAACAGCTCTTGCCGCAGATATCGCAGCTGCAACTCCTTGATGCGAATATCCAGCCGCAAAGTGTCTCGCGTCTCTTGAAGAAGAGCAGTCCAAACGGGGTCTTCGCCGTAGCGCTCGTGGTGCTTGTGCTTGAGGGCCGCGGCGTCGGCGTCGGATGGCGCGTTGAGAACCTCATGAAGGTCGGCGGCATAATCGCGGCGATCGGGGTTGACTGACGACCCATCGCCCAAAGGCTCATCCGCTGTTTGCGCCGTAGCTTGCTCGCTTTCCGATGCGCTTCTCGAGAGCTCGGGCTGGGGTAATGGAGGTGCGTAGCGAAGCCGCGAGCTGTCGCCCTCCCGGGGTTCTGCCACACCGCTGGGGACTCTCTCATCCGGATTGGCTGGCAGATTTAGGATGAGCATCGCAAAGTGGCGTCGCATAAGCAGGCAGGAAAGGGCTCACCAGCGACGCTGCTCCTACGAACATCTGCGAGCGGCTCGTCGGCAGCCATGAGGTTGTGGTTAACGCTCAACCGCCGTTCGGTGCATGCCCTAACGCAGGGTCCAGTTTACCCGAGATATCGCCGAGAGGCATGCTGCCGATTCGGCCACCTCGGTGACGGGCGATTTCGCCTTTGACGTCGGAAATTCTCAATGGATCGTTCCGGCTGTTTCATCCGAAGATACCTCGGCGTCGCGCGCCTTGGAGACGGTGATGCTGGCTTCGAATCTCTATAGCATTGGTCATGGCCTGTGCAACCTTTGTTCGCATCTGACATTTGCCAAGAGGGGTTTTGACCTTCACATGGCTTTGCAGCTTGTGATATGATCTCCTCAGAATGCCAACATGCCACAACCACCGTGGTGCTTAGCAGGTATATCACCGCGGCGCTTACCATCGACCACCGCAATCGGGAAGCGACGCCTCATGCGCCTGATCGAGCAGTTTCCCGAGGCTGCGGGCAGAATCGCGCGTTGAACTGCGCCGTCCCCAGCGGCGATTGCGGGCGATGCGACCACGAGGCGCTGACGGCGCCCGGTGATTTGCAATCTGGCGAACGCGGCGATTCAGAAGGGTCCCTGGCTTTGAACATGCCGGAGATTCTATACCAATCATCTACGAGCGCCTGGGTAAAGCACCGCGTCAGGGCGAAACATCGCCTGGAAGACCTTACTTCGCCTAGCCGCGCCTGCCGCCAGTTCGCAAAGTCACCAGGCTCCGTCAGCACCTCGCGGCCGCATCGCCAGCAATCTCGCTTTAGCAGACGTCGCACTTTTGCTCGTCTCGCTGCTTTCGGAAATCACAATAACTTGCTTGCACTGAGCCTACGAGAATCGGCGAAGGCGCTTATTCCATACAGATCCGAGGCACATTCGTTATATAATATGAAAATGAATCACAACAATCCCAATGCAAGCAGAAAAACGGGTGAAGATCAGTCCTGACTAGAGGTGAGCCGAATTCTTTGAGCGCCAAAAGCCAGGCGATCTGGTGAATTGACCGACGACTCCCAGCGGTCCCGCCCCACTGGATCCAGCAAGCTATCCGTGGGCACCTGAAGGTGAATTATCTCCAGCGCCGGGCAGAGATAAACGCCGCCGGTGCTCGGCGCATCGAGGGCCCACGCAAGCGCTTGAAGATGCTCTAACGCCAAGCACCCTTCCATGTTTGGCTTGAATTCGACGTCGTCGCTGAGCAAAGGGCACTCGAAATGGAGCACAGTGAGAGCCGTGAATCTCCCTAGGATGTGCTGGTAGCCTAGAGAGCGATCCGGCAACCAGCTATCCCGAGCGAAGACGAACTCCTTCACTCGGCGCTCGGACGCGGAAGCCCATGCGTCGGGCATAAGGCTCAGGACATATTGAATCGCGTCGTACAAGGCCTTCGGATACTGGGCATTGAAGTCTCGCTCACGGTCTTGCCGGAGCACCTGATTGTCTCTGAACGTGAGGGATCGCCGAGCGGCGAGCTTGTCACCAAGCGCCTGACTGCCTTCCGCATCACGGCCCACCGGGTCCTGCAGCACCGGCCTCAGTTCCTGCACAGACTCCGCCACACTGACGCTGACAAGCTCGGGGAAGCGTGCCGCCGCCGGCTCGGAGGGCTGGGTGTTTGGATCGATTCGTACGTCCAGCCCCATCACCCGTGTTGAGCGATGCCAGAGTGGCTCAGCCGGGTCGGCGGTGTTCGTCGTGTGATTTGCGGGGTGGGCGGAGTGGATCATACTGGTGCAATGGGGCTGAGCTAGATCTTGAGCAAACGTCTGCGGCCGCCTCCATTCACAGTCGAAATATTCCGGGGCATGCTCTGAAGGCCAGAAAGGGACCTCGTATATTCCCGGGTGCTTTGCTGTGAAGTGCTCTCTCCAGGACTCGACCTGCTCGAGATGCAGGTCGAGAGCGTAGGGTAGAACAAGCCTGCCAAGCAGGAGGGCTCCAAACAGGGGATCCATGCAAAGCCGGAAGTAGCGCAGTCGAAGAAATGTGATGGTGCCCTCGATATCGGCAAGGAAGCCTCCAGCGATGTCGATCGTCAGATACTCGAGGGTGGCGGCGCATGCTAAGAGACCGACGGATAGCGACGATCCAAAGACCATGGAGGTGCCAGGACCTTGATGCAGGTAAAGGGAGATCAGCGTCTTTGAGAAGTAGAATACGGGGTAGTTCGAAACCCGGCATTCGCGCAGGTTTACACTCTCGATGGCCGTCATACACCGACGCCGGCCTTCCCGAGCGTGGAGCGGATCCGGATCCAGAGCCTCGAGGTCAAAGCTGAGCAGAGGGCTGTTCGCGCGGCCCCTGTTGTCGCGAACAAATTTTCGTAGCTCGGTCGCCAACCTTCGGTCGCCTGATGACGGAAGCCTGAGCTTGACCCTCACGAGACGAGAGTAGAAGGAACGGAGGCCGCGGAGAAGACACGCGCAGACGTCCAACGCTATGAGGTTGCGTGATCCGTACTCTATGACAGTCCGCCCACGAAAGGTGGTACGGTGTTCTCCAGAGTGGCGCGCGATCGCAGGGTATAGGGTGTTATCCAGCTGCCAGATCTTAGAATCCTCAAGAAGGACGCCGCGTAACCTTCTCGAGACCAGCGATGTGCTATGGGCAGGAGAAGGGAGGTGAGGGGGGAGGGCCTTGCCAGAGTCTGAGCGTATGCAAATTGGTCGACTGAAATCCCATTGTGCACCGTTACAGCATGGGAGTACAGTGGATGGTGCAGACGCAGGTTGCGACACCTCGTAGCGCTTCACCGCCGCGTATGGAGCTTGTGCCGCAAAGTGTTCGTTATGCCAGGCTATCTGAGCATAGTATATGATCAACGAGATGAGCTCAGCCGGTAACTTGTCAAATCTGAGAATAGGTGGGTGAAGCTCAGACATCAGAGATGAGTGTGGAGTTCAAGATGCCGCAGATTCTTGACATCAAAGTTTACCTGGCACATCGGGTGCATTCCCAGGAATCTCAGAACCGTTGGCCCGCCTACCCGTTAACTTGGTTAAGCTCGCCGAGCCCGAGGTTGAACCAGTCAGTAGCTTACAATCAAAAGAGTGACTGGAGAGTATTTCCCAGCGTCGAAACCGAGCCTCTGTGAGTTTGAACTCAGCCACTAATGGCCATTAGGCAGCCGGGCTTGTTGATTGCAGCATTCTACCGGTGTTGTCGACTTGCTTGGCCTACTACATAGGATACCGGGACTGGTGAGTTGATTCAGAGCCCTCACGGTCCCCGATGTTCCCCTATTCCAGCGGTGATGGGGCCTTGGCCGAACCCATAATTCGCCAGCACAGTCAGTGTTGCGGGGTCAAGACCGAAGTGGCATCGGTCGCGGTCAGCCCCAACGGGCATGACTGTCAGGCACCGCGGCTACGAGGATAGCAGGAGCAAGTCGCGGCGCGGCGAACGCCGAAGAGCGCGCACGCGACCGACACCACCTGAAGCATGCCCGAAGCCGGCCCGACGTGGCCGACGAGTGTCGCCCCGCGTCCAGCAATTTCCGCCGCGTTTCAGCTCTCAGCATCGATAGTCGGGGTCAGGGTGCCTGCGGTCATGGCCCCAACGGCAACTGACGGTAACTACTGACTGACCGCTGAAACACCGAGTGCAGAAGCGGTCTTAGCGTTCGGTCTGTCACAAGAGCCGGGGGGTGTTAGACATTTGAGTTCACCAGTGTGTTGAAGACGATCACCGCGGACAATCCTAGCAATGTCTGGGCGCATTCCATGCAGTTCAGAATTCCCGTCGAGATCACCGTGGTGAACCGAGCCGCTCGAACCTGGCCCGGGGGGTATGGCTAATCAATGATTTTAATCATAATGCCGGGGGGGTGCAAGCAAGACTCACCATGCGGCTCGGCGACACTTTGTATTCTAACCTAATTCACCTAGTCACCCGGCCCCAAGCGCTCAGGGGATCTGCCTAACCTGCCGATGTCGCATGCTTCCATTCGCCTTTGATTGTCGCGACGTCGGCGCAAGCGCCAACGCGATGCAGCGTGGGTCCAATGATTATTCAGAGTGCGAACTCGGGTCGCCCTCCGGGGTTCGATCCACCCCGGATCCCATCCCTGAGGCAAAGAAAATCATCGCCATTTCTCCTTCACCTTTAGACTTCCTGGAATTCCATCACGAGCAGGCGCACCGCGTACCTATATACAGGATACCCCTCGACAGAACCTTGTAAGTCCTGGCGGGGGCAAATAGCCGCCACAGGAATGCTAACATGCCAAAGCATGACGGTGAGATATGGCGAGATAAGGGAAAAGTAATCTTGCCTTCGCTCGTTCACGACCTTTGTGCGACCTCTCTGTCCTTCCTGCCCCTCCTGCCCCTTCAACGCTCGCTCATCCTTAGCGCATTCCGCATGGTTCACAAAGCTTCCACGTTGCACGTCCTCCATAACTCCACATATACTCTGAATTATCGCTTCGAACGCCATTCTGAAGCACACGGCATCTTCGACTTCTCCTACACCCTGGAACCCTTGAATGCTCTGCCACAGTCTTCTCCAGTCGCCTTGGCCTCCGGACACATCATTCTGCGGGACTATCTAGGCGCCTCGCGCAAGTGGTATACGGAAATGGATATTCCCTCTCAGGAGACCGCGGAGCTTTCTCTCCTCTTCGATGCTCGCGCGCGCCTCCTTGACGAGTACATCTCTAATCGGTACTTGCGAGGATCCGGAGTCTGGGGTCACGAACTCAGTGAGGGAAGTATCTTGCTTGTGACAGACCTCAGTGTTGAGGAGCCGTACCGGGGACGCGGTATTGGGAGTTGGTTGCTCCGCCACGTTCTATCGGAACCTGCCATCACCCGCCCGCCGGCCACTCACCGGAGGTGGCTACACCCCCCTCCCGCGAAATGCGAGTTCGCTATAGCTTGGCCTGCCGGGATAGGAGGAGCCAGTACGTCTCCCGAACAGCACCGCAAGCAATCGGATGTTGCGGTTCGCACTTTCCATACAGTCGGCTTCAGGCGCATCGGTCGTTCTGTTTTCTTTGCACGAGCCTTGAAAGATACTTTGCACCCGTCTCTTTCTCTAGAAGCGCACGAGGATGCTAGTGAAATATCGCGGCCGGAATTGTCACGCCCGCTCCCTGCGCTATCACCATTCATGCGTACGCTCGTACAAGCGGATTGGCCGGAGAACGCCAGGCGCCTCCCCTTGCATGCTATGATAGTCTCGGACGACTGTAGCGATAGTCGCATTGTGGATGCACTATCACAGCTCACCACTCCCAATGAGCTTGCACACATCTGCCTCGCCGACCCCGTCGCCATGAACGCAACACCGCTGCACCTTGCGGCCATGAGAAGCAGAGCGTCGGTCGTGATAAAATTGTTGACGATGAATGCTCGGGGCAACCTCTTTACAGCTACCGCCCACGGACGCTTGCCTCTGGACTGTCTACAGCAAAAGATGCGTGAGGAGAGGGTGTTTGCATCGGCTGTGGGGATGCAGAATTGGCCCGGTCATTCTGCCCTCAGCATTGAGACGCAGGCTATACTCTTGGCGGCGATGGGAAAGCCGGTTCCTAATGAGGACGCCGCAAGATGGGGTTGTACTTGCGGGCACTGTGTTAAGGGCTGGTTCTCGCTCCGCATGCTCTATCAAGTTAGCGGTAAGTTTGTTTTGCCATATCTTTTCAATCTTCAAACTAACGACCCAAGTCCGGGCTGAAGTCGCCATGGACATGCTGCAACATTCTCTGGACCTCACCCCTGCCGATGAGACGCGAGGTCGTACTCGACTATACAAGTCGTCAACCTTGGACAATGTTCATTTCATGAAGTACATACCCGAGCAAATTTGTGCGCAGGGCGTCCACGCCACATTCATCAAGGGGTACGGTGCAGTTCTACGTGCGATAGCGTCCATCACAAGGCGGAACAAGATCCCTACCCTTCAACTTGTCACGAGCCATGCACTCGACGGCAGGGACGACCACTTCGCCGCGCGCGCCGTGGACTTTTTTCTCAAAAAGGGGGGCAGGGTTGAGCACGCCCTGAATGGGGTTCTGCATGCTGCGTCTGAATTGGTGAGTTCAGATAAAACGTCTCAACAACGCATATGAAATTGAAGATTTGATAGGGTCCCGGAGGGGACGGATCGTTCTTGGAGATCGAGGACTTTGCAGACGACCTGGCAGCCCTGCCGGATTGCGAGAACGACGAAGATTATCCGCTTCTCCGTGCGAACCTTTGCCTTCCATCCAACTTGAACGGGCCCGCCAGTTCCGCATGGGCGGACAAATTCCTAAACCCGGCGGACTTAGATGATACGATGGACACCAGCTCGTCCAGCTCGGGCCAGGGTGTGAGCGAGAGCGAAGACGAGGGCTATTAGGCGCTACGTCGAGTTGGCGCCTCGCGGGGATCGGGATTCTGGTAGAAGGCGGGCGCCGAGCTCAGAAAGAGGCGCTAAAAGCTGCCCCTCTAACACCTCACTCGGCTCGTAAAGCTACGGAGGTCCGCATCTTGTGTATTTGAGGTAGGGAAACAATGCTGGTTAGTAAGAGTAGTAGAGGACTTGCGCGTTGCTGTTATCAAACTTAGTCATACATATAGCATATGAAGCGCGTGCTGCTCGACCGCCTTGTCAGGAGCTAACCAGAATACACCTTGCTTCCGCTGAGATGCTTACTGTGGTCTTTGGGCACAGCTCCAAGACGCAGATGACTGGAAAATGGTCCACCTTGCCACTGCTAAGCTAGCGGAACTGAATGCGGCGGGGATCTGTCAGTCTAGGGACTGGACCAGCGCCTTACTGACAGTGGTGATGCGCACTAAGTCTGACGATAGAGTCTACGGTGCTGGAATTCATGATGGATCGTACCATCTGTCTACAAAAGCGCATGTGTGAGGATTTACGTGATACAGTCGCTAACCCGAGAATGTGCTCAACCGAATCTTCCTGGCACGCGACGCCAAACGTCCCGGTGAATTCAGCATCCCATCCCAATCGATGGGCGCTATCCAGCCCTTCAAGGTCTCTTCAGGAACACGAAGATGAATGTGTTCCAGGGCGAGACAGACATAGTTGCCGGCCGACGTCGGGATGTTCAGGCTCAAGGCAAGTGCCTGCAAATGGTCCGCAGTGAAGCATCCCTCCATGTTCTGTGTAAACTGAACGTCCGGAGGTAGCGCAGGGCTGTCAACATGCAGGGCCCGGATAGAGTTGAAGCACTGTAGGATGTGCTGGTATCCCAAAGAGCGATCAGGCAGCCAGCTGTCCTTGGCAAAGACAAGCTCCTGCGCAGCTACGGCCCACGATACCGGAGCATGTATCACGTAATACAACGTGTCGTATAACGCCTTCGGATACTGAGAGTTGAAATCCCGAGCGCGGTCATATGCAGAGAATTGCCCATCCCTGAAGGTAAGAGAACGCCGGGCGGCGATCTTGCCTTGAAGTTCCTGGCTCCTCTCCCAGTCACGACCCACCGGGTCGTGCAAGACCGGCCTGAGCTCCGCTGCTGATTCCGCCAGAGTCAGACTGACCAGCTCGGGGAACTTCGCCGCCGCCGGCTCGTGGGGCTTCGTGGACGGATCAATGCGCACATCTAGCCCAACCACCGTCGCCGAGCGCCGACTGAGTATGTCGGCTGGATCGCCAAACGCCACATGATGGTCCGGTGTTGCGCTGTGGATGGCGGCGGTTCGGTGGGGTTGATCCAAGGTCTTGGCGAACTTCTGTATCCACCTCCATTCGCCTTCGAAGCGCTCCTCCGGGGCATACCGCGATGGCCAGAAGGGAACTTCGTATATCGTGGGGTGCCGTGCAGTGAATGACTTTCGCCAGTATACTACCGGCTCGAGATGCAGGTCAAGTGCGTATGGCAACACCATCCAACGAAGTAGCGCAGCCCCGCACATGCGATGAGTGCAAAGTCGGAAGTAGCGCAGTCGGGGAAATGTGACGCTGCCCTGGACCTCCGCGACGAAGCCTGCGGCAATGTCGATTGTTAAGAACTCGAGGGTGCGGGAGCATGCTGTGAGACTAGTCG